ACGAAGTTTGTATGTAGTGCTTCCCGATTCAAGTTGCGTCATTGAATGCCAGTGGAGTGCAAGTTTCACAACAAGGGACTCCAGCACAAGCGCCGCAAGGAATGGAGAATCCTTCTTCAGTCGGCGGTGCATACCCCACAATTGCCAGCGGTGAGGACTGGTATAGACTGGACGAACCGAATGTCGTGGTCGAACATGAAATTCACAAGCTGGACCGTGACGTTGACTCGGAGTATCGCAAGGATGCCACCGCATCCCGTTTTCTCAGTGCCTGTACGAGTCATTCTCCATCATCGGCGGTAAATTGGACAAGCTGCGGTGGACCTGAATCTGCCGATCATACGGCGGTTGAGATAATGCAGACTCAGATGAATTTCCCTATCGGATATACTCCCCATGATCAAACTAGTTGGTTCAGGTTGCCGTCAGACGGCTCGGGACAGCTTCAACCTGAGATGCTTGCCAATGGATTGTAAGGAGACTCTCAGTTTTAGTTGTACCACCGTGCTAACTGGCACCGTGACTTCTCCAGTGCCATCGGAGAGCCGGTGCTAGCACTGCTACCCACCTTCGTGTATGATTTGTATTGGTAAGTGCCATCTCTAAAAGTTCTTTTCTCAGTCTTATAACTTTCAAAAGTTTTATAGACAAATACTCGAAAAGCAAGATCATACAATGGGAAAATAAAAATCAAATCATTGAACTGGATCACAAGAAACTTGCCAAGGCTCTCGAGGAGACCTGCTTTTTCGGCTCCGCCGTGGGTCCTATCGGTCGTCTCTATCGACATTTCCAAGTCAGTGATAAGTTGCCAGTATCAAAGTAGCAAGTTAATAACTCTTCTCTTCATTCAGGCATACGGCTTCAAGATGGCAGCCGCAAAAACAAGTGCAGGAAACTTGATACCAACATGGAGCGAGTCGTCCGCATTCATTTCGGTGCACAAAACCTAACGACAGTATTGTAGCGCATCCAGTCTTCAATCGAGACTACCCGCGTCATAAGCTTAAAGCTGTAGCATAGCAGAAGGCAACAAATGCAGAAATCCTCTTGCAAGGGCACCAGCCAATTGAACTACAGCTGTTTTCAAAATAGTTGGCCACGGCCCGATTTTTCGTCACACATCAAAATCTGCACAAAATTGGTGGTCCGAGATTGTGGAGGCTTGTTCTCACTCAAAACCATGTATTCCTCTGTAAATTTTAGCATATTTGGAATCTACTTGACGAAATGGACCCAACGGTGTGGCCTACATGAGGAGATAGTACCCAGATATGACTGATCTCTTGCCTCACCTGATTTTCAGCGTGGTTTTTTCCATTCCTCTATAACACAATAGCTTTTGACTTAGAAAAGACAGATATATGGTTTATTAGTGAGTATGAAGCTTCTGCAAATGATTGTGAACCGTAGGCTGGCCTTATCTAGTCTCCACGAACAGCTCTGCTGTCCCTCCTCTTGACCTTGATCCATTTCGGCACCTTTCTCACCTGTCTATGGCCGCCAACATTCTCGGAGCTCTCAATTCACACCCTAAAATCTCCTGGTTTGTCGTTTGGGCTGCCAGCCACCCTGCTTTTGGAGAATACAAGTATTTGGTCCAAGCATTGATATCCGTCAAACCTCCTCAATTGCGAGACAGAATGCTCATGTAGATGGCCATTAGGCCACACCGTTGGGTCCGGCTCGTCGAGTAGATTCGGAATATGCTAAAATTTACAGAGGAATACATGGTTTTGAGTGAGAACAAGCCTCCACAATCTCGGACCACCAATTTTGTGCAAATTTTGATGTGTGACCACCTATAGTGCACCCTAATACCCTCTAGTTAGAGGGATAGAGGGGGGTACTCTCTCCCTCTAACTAGAGGGGGTTGAGCCAGTAGCGGGCACCCCCGCTAAATATGGCTACCAAGACGTGTCTTGGTAGCGGGGAAAGAAGCCCCGGAGGCTCAGGCTGCCATCACCCTCCCGGCTGCCTCCCTGCCCCCGCCCACTGTGCGCGCTGCCCGCCGCTGCCCCCATGGCCTTGGCATCGTCGTAACGAACGTGACTTGTGTCACCGATCGTTGATTGACATTGCCGATCGCCGCCCGCTGTCGTCGGCCCTGTCGTCGGCCGTCCCCGCTGCTGTCAAATACCCCGCCGTCACTGTCAAATAGTCCGCCGTCGTCGTCCTCGACATTGTCCTCAATGGTGAGCTCAATTCTTCATCAATTCAAATGAAATAAATTGATATCTGACAAAACTTAATGATCGCAACATGATGGTGGTGTCATTGATGTCATCTACTGATCCCGCCCTCCCCCGACGCCTGCCCGACGTGCCCGACATGCCTCCCGACCCCTCTACCCCCAAAAATGAAAAAGTTGCAGAATGTTGGGAAAATGATCCCAGTACAAACCGCTACTTAATATCTTTGTTCGTTCAAGAGATATTCATAAAACTCATTAACTCAATATTGTTGTTAACTCAATCATTAATGTTGTTAACTCAATTCAACTGCACAATGGCTAGGGCTTGAATCTAAACATTGGTGGGCTTGAAACTATTACTAGTCAGCCTTTCTTCATGAGGTTTCCATCTGTAAAATGGTCCAATTAGGTCTATATGACCCCATCATTGGAAAATGATCCATCCCAACTTAGAGTGTATCTTCAAATATACTCAGTGGAAATGGGTAATATGGAGCTCACCTTGAAGGTAATATCCTAGGGAAATACAATCTACAGTATCAAGCTAAGAAGTCATTGTATACCCATTGTATGTAGGATCAATTGTATGTTTTACCCAAGACATGGAACAAATGACTGATATCTTTATGATTACTAGATGGATAATCCTGATCTAACTTTATCCTTGTAGGGCATATGGATATAAGTGATTCTATGGATTTATAGCCTCACAGCCTCAGCAGACAACCCTGAATTACAGGGGCTCTAGGGTACATCCTATCATAAGCTGTAGGGCAGATATAGGGAAGGTTAGAGGGTTTTCTGGAAGGTGTGAAGATCCATAACAACTGCCCTTGAGGATCTGTCTCTACACCTCTAAGTACCAGAACTATAGATGTACTAGATTGAGTATAGATAACACTGATTACAACATTGCACAACATCTGGTATAGCTATGGCAGCAGTTGAAGCTCTGTTAAGGTTAATTTGAAGTCCCCTAACAGCCTATACCAATTTCTTAGATCATACTTGAAATTTATTTTGAGCAAGTGTTTTGGTGCGGACAGTCCCTTTCACTGCTAGTATCCCAACCCTACCTTCTGGTGTAACCACTGACATACTTGATTACAACACATATATAGAGGTAAGACTCATTCCAGATATCTAAATATACTTCTCTACCATATCTAAACCATAGAACAAACCCCCTAGGAGTGGAATCTTCCATATAGCATTGTGTGACATCAGTCACTTCTGAAGAGTACAGCCTAACCTTCCCCAAGACTGCTGTTAAAGACTAATGTAGCTATGCTGAATGATTAATGCAAGGCCCTCTACAGCCCAATGCCTTCCAATAGCTTATCTGTGACCAGATCCTTGAGTAATATGGGTATGCCACCTGTGACACCTGAAGGAGTGACATATGAGTTTCTGGAATTCACCTAACATGATAAGCTATTTTTGGATAGAAAACTGTTCCTTGAAGTTCTCTGATACTTCTAACCCATTCCCCTATAGAATCTGGTAAAGTTTGAATGCTTCAAGGCCTATATAGCAAATTTGCTATGGACAATTTTATATAGAATATAGAGCTGTAGTAAAGATATTGAGGTCATTAGAGTACTACAAGCATGGGTCAGCACCATATATATTCAGCTCATTTGGAAATATGAAGTACTGACTGACATAGTCAGGTATCACACAAGGATACCTAATGCTTGATCATGAGCCTATCTTTAGATCACCACTTCTTAGACTAGATGGAGTCATTTGAGAGCCTTAGAAGAATTAAGGAACACTGAGATCAAAGAGATCAATGAAGAATTGAGAGAGATATGGTGAAATTCAGACAATTGAGTTAACAACATTAATGATTGAGTTAATGACAATATTGAGTTAATGAGTTTTATTAATATCTCTTAAACGAATGAAGATATTGATTAGCGGTTTGTACTGGGACGGTTTTCGTGACATTCCGCAACTTTTCCATTTTTGGGTCCGGAGGTGTTGGGGGGCGCGTCGGGTGCGTCGGGCAGGCATCGGGGGAGGGCGGGATCAGTGGATGGCAATGATGACACCGCCATTGTGTTGTGATCATCAAGTTTGATCAGAAATTAATTTATTTGATGGAAAATGATAAAGAATTGGGCTCACCATCGAGGGCAACGTCGAGGACGACGTCGGCGGACTATTTGACAGTGGCGGCGGGGTGCCTGACACCGGCGGGCAAGAAGCTCCGCGGCCGACGACAGCGGGCGGCGATCGGCGACGTCAATCAGCGATCGGTGACATAAGTCACGATCGTGACGACGACGCCGAGGCCATGGGGGCGGCGGCGGGCAGCGCACACAGTAGGCGGGGGGCGGGGAGGCAGCCGGGAGGGTGATGGCAGCCTCCGGGCCTCTTTCCCCGCTACCAAGACCCCCCTTGGTAGCCATATTTAGCGGGGGTGCCCGCGACTGGCTTAACCCCCTCTAGTTAGAGGGAGAGAGTACCCCCCTCTATCCCTCTAACTAGAGGGTATTAGGGTGCACTATAGGTGTGTGTGACGAAAAATCGGGCCATGGCCAACTATTTTGAAAACAGCTGTAATTTTTGCCAGTGCCAGGGTTTGGAGTATATTCAAACGAAAAGGCTCCCGAAATAGTACTTTATCGCGCTCTAGTGTAAGGACTGCACATCCGACCTAGAGTCTATGTAACAAACTATGTCTGCTGAGCACTGAGCGGGCGTCCGAGTTCGGTGACTACGGCGATCAAACGTCGCACCTGCCTTGTCAGCAGCCTCCACCTCAAAACGGCGTCCCTCCACTCGCCGTTGCTCCACCATGTCCTCCTACTTCCCCGCCCCCGACGCAGACGATGATCCTCTTACGAATGCAGCCGATGAGGTGGACATGGACTCGCGCACGCGGCTTGACAAGACCATCGACAAAATTGGAATGGGTAGTTACCAGTGGACGTTGTTATGTCTTTGTGGCTTCGGTGCGTGCTCAATCTTAGGACTGGTACGCCGTGCTAATGCCTGCTAGGCTGGATGGCGGACAACGTACGAAGTTTTCTTGTCGGGAAGGACTGCATTTGAAGAGAATGACAGATGTGGCTCCAGGCTGTTGCTATTATTCTGCCACGCGTCCAGCAGCACTACTCTGTTCCAGACAGCCAAATAGGCATCCTTTCATCGTCCATGTTTGCTGGGATGATGATAGGTGCCGTTGGCTGGGGCACAGGTTCTGACTTGCTCGGTAGAAGTACGGCGTTCAATGCGACGCTTTTCTTCACTGCCCTCTTCGGCATTCTCTCCTCCTTCGCCTACTCTTTCCCCTCGCTTTGTCTCCTGCTGTTCTTACTAGGCAGCGCGGTCGGGGTGAGTCGTCTCGCTTATCGAAGACGCCATTTCCTGCCAAATGACGCGTCTTTTGCTCCTTCTAAGCCACTAACCCTGTTCTAGGGCTCTATGCCGACCGACGGCACGCTTCTTCTCGAACACATGCCGCAGCACAAGCTTTACCTCGTCACTGCCCTGTCCTTCTTCTTCTCTTTGGGCTCGGTATTAGCGGCAGTCGTTGCCCTAATACTCGTCCCATCCAATTCATGCATATCGACCACGGTTTGCGACCCTGCTCTCAACAATGGATGGAGGCACCTTCTGACCGCACTGGGCGTCATTGTACGTCTTTTCATTTCACCTGAATCGTTCAACCTATCACAATCAGACACTTGCAATGTTCCTAGCTCGTATCGTCTTCTTCCGTCTGCACGAATCTCCGCGCTACCTTGTTCACGCGGGTCGTCCAGAGCAAGCACTCGAAACACTTCAACTTATCGCCCGCTTCAACGGCTCGTCAACACTTGCTGGCGAGCTCAAGTTGGCCGACGTTGACGATACTGCGGTCGTTATTGACGACGGGGTTCCCGATGGTTACGAGTCCATAGCTAGCGATCCCGCAGAGCCCAGGAGTAAAGAGACGCGCTACTTCGCATCTTGGGCTCAGAGGTGGTTAGCTCGCTTCCGCATGGTGCTCATTCCGCAATGGAGGCGGACGACGCTGCTGGTTTGGGGTGCTTGGTGTGGGATGGCACTTGGTAGGCGGTCTTGTAATGAGAAAACTCGTTTTGACCTCATGCTAGCATACACGATGTTCAACGTTTTCCTCCCGAAACTGCTTGAATCAGATGGTGGCGGAGACAAATCCATCTCGGACAGTTTATGGGATGTGCTTGTCTTTACACTCGGAGGGTGTCCCGGTGCTTTGGTATGTTTTTATTGCTCAGATTCTTCTCCCTGCTCACCATCATACATGTAGCTTGGGGCACGTCTTATTCTGACCCCGCTAGGTCGACGTTGGTCCCTCGCCAGCAGCACCCTCGTCACCGCTGGCTTCTGCATCTTGTTTATTTTTGCGCAAAGTGCAGGTAGCGTTTGGGCCACACGTATTAGTGCCATTGGAATCGGGCTAGCCAGTACGGTGAGTTGCCAGCCTTCCTGTCTTGATACGATGACAATCTGACTTTATGCAGACAATGTGGGCTGTACTTTATGGCTGGACACCAGAGATATTCGCGACCCAAGGTCCGTGGCTCTGTCTCATTATTTGGAGCAGAAGATGACTGAAACATTCTCCAGTACGAGGCACGGCTTGCGGAATCGCATCGGCCCTCTCTCGCGTGTATGTCTTTCTGCCCTTTCATTTGTCCGCTTCATCTCATATTCTTGCACAGTGGCGGCATCATCGCGCCTCTCATTGGCGGTTTGCTCCTCTTGTTCAGCCGGGCCGCGCCGGTTTATGCGAGTATGCTAGTGTTTGTGATCGCCGCAGTCTGTGTACTTGGTCTAGCAGAAGATGAAGGAGAGGGCGGCAAGGCGAAAGGAGGACACACGCGCGGGGCAGGGCTGATGCATTGATTAACGAGTCATGGAGGACCAAGCTCTGCCCAGGTAGGGCTCGACGCGATGTTGGATGTCAAACTACAACCCACTGCTGGCGCTTTTGGCCAGCGGTTTGATAGATGGGATATTAGACGGTAGAGGTGACAATCTGTCTCGATCTATAGCGCTGTTTCAAGATTTGGAATAGATTCTATTGGCTTCTATGAACTGGAAACATGGAATGGAGCTCTTGGGCAGCTCCCAACGAAAGTGTAAGACTATCAATGTGTAACTTCCATGAGTGGGCCAGGAGGGAGAATGGGCCTTGTGTCAAGTGGCTGCCCCGGTTCGTCGACGATCCCCCCACCAATATCAGCATCGCTAAACATTTTGTCAACCAAAACCTACACGCATATATCTTAGCTACTACAAGGCCGTGAACCGATTAAAGCCCAACAAAAGCGCAGAAAATCAAGACGTACAATGCTGATGATATCGAGAACGGCAAGGATGGCTAGGGTTTCTGACTAGTCAAGAAACCTACTCTTATTCCACCACCAACGTCAACAACCATAAATATGTCGCCATTGCCGGCCTCAGAAAATTATGGCCCGTTGAATCTAACAACCAGAGAGTCCAGGTTCTTGAATACTTATTGGCAGCCTGCGATTCCTGCTCATACTGCAGTCGACCACACCAAATATCCCTCAGACAAGATGACCGACTCGGACTCTTGCTCACATGGCCCGCTCCCACTTACTACATCGAGCGAACATCGCGAACTCAAACCCGCGTATATTTCGAGTCGGATTGTCATCAACCAAGTTGGGACTTGAAATCTATTGAAAAATAGTGCTCTAGAGCCAGTGTGTACTCATACATCGGTTATCAGGATGGGACAAACCAGATTTACAACTTACAGTTACCTACTGCGAACCGTCGTCCAGTCATTTACTCCGGGTCGGATCGTTCAGGGCCAGCCGTGTTTTGACCGCGATCGCCAGCGCTCCCGCCGAAAACGGATACTGAGTGAGTTGCCTAACCTGGTATGAGCCTGGAGATTTGATCCTAAATTGTATAGAAAGTGCAGTGTTCTTTCTGCACGATGTGTTCTATCTCTCAGAGTGTTTAAAACACGAGCGGGCCTTCTTGGTGCTTGTACAGCAGCCCCCTCTCACTCTTCCTCTGGCGCCATGGACACGCAGAGCCCAACTGTGCAGATATGGTCCACCCTTGCGCTCGCCGCGCTTTCCCTCATCCCTCACCATGCCCTCCGGGTTACAGCGGTTGTGATCTGCTCGCTGATCTGTTTGGCGCATACTAGTATCGTGGCCATCAGGCGCCCCGCGCGCATCTTGGCGGGGAGCGCAGCCGTCCTGGATGGCGTCGAACAGGCTATCGCGGAGGCGATGTGCGGGAGCCATCGACTGGTCTTTCTGGAAGAGAGCTTGGAGCTGCTCCGGTGGGCTTCCCTCTCTAAAGTGTGCCCACCGTTGTCCTGATTAGCGGTTTGCAATCACAGGCTCAGACGCGCTCTATCGCTCTACCGATCGTCCCTGCTCACCACCCACCCGACGCGGCCGCTCTCCTGGATGGCGTATATCGCACTGTGGAGCCAGATATCGCGGCTAATGGCAGCGGCTCAGCGCATCTCTTTGGGCGTGCAGGTGGGCCATCGCTCTGTCTTGGTTCTTCAGCATTTACTAGAAAGCTAATCATTACGTGCAGCTGCGCATTGAAACAAGTCGCGCGGACGCATACGCCGAGCGGATCAACTCGTCCCTGACGCTGCTCGGCCCAGGCCAGCCTGAGCGTGCTGCGATTGCGACTGTATAATAAGTACCGTGACGGACTTGAAAATTTTATGTGGTGGACAAAGGACATTTGAGGTACTGCGGCTTCCGGCGACATCATCTTCGCCCAATGACTTCATATTCAGAGAATTGCTCCATCCCCACAGAAGATATGTTAGAAATTTATAATTTTTTTAATTTAATTTTTTTAGGGTGTGTCCGGGGACTGGGACCCCTCCCTCTCGGACCCTTGCATGAAGCTTGATATTTATCTCAGATATGCAAGTCCCGTCATTCTGTTATCTCTTTGTATTCCCTTAAAAAATTTCCCTGCTGTGAATAAATTGTTCAACCAGGTGATCGTGTTTCGGCCGGGCACGGCCCGGCGTTGAAGTGATCCGTCGGCACTGGCGGGAGCATGACCGTGACGGTGACACGACGCGGTTTGTCCTTCTTCGATGACTATGTAGACAAGTTAAGACAACTATATCGATGTCCTTTGTTGTCTGTCTCAATGCGATGCCAAAATCACGCGCATCACGTTGACCACAGGGCTCTGCGTTGCTTGAACTCAAACTCGACAGTTCATCGACATGCAGTGGCATCACACTCGGAGGTTTGGGTCTAGGTCTTATTCGTTGCCTGTGTTGCGGGCCGCGCTGACGAACATAGGGTATGCAGTTCCTCCGGCAAGTATGCATATGCCCTGCGCCGCCCGGCGGCATCTTATTATGCCCGCTCACTTCACAGGCGGTGCCTGTTGCGATAACCTTTCCGCTCCGTGATCCGCAACGTTTTCTTCCGCCAGCCGTGGGTGGCGAGGCTGTGCCGGCACCGCACCGCATTCTTCCGGCCTTTTGCGCTGACATGGACAATGACAGATGGATTGCGTTGGCGTGCGAGCTGCCATGTGCTTGGCAATGTCAATGGCTGACTGATGCGCCCTTGTTCCAAGTCGGGCACAAAGGCACTGGAGCGTGGGCGGAGCTAGGGAGCGGGTGGGGCTGATGCCTGACTCCAGTGGTGTGGGAGGGACGAGCTGGAGCCTCGACTGGAGGTGGGAATGCAGAACGGCTGCTTCCAAGGACCGTGGTCGCGCACATTGTGATCATCATCCCGCCGGCGGGCGCTCGTGGTCGCTCGACGACGACGGCGCTGGGCGTGGGAGATGGATACCGGGTCCCGGCACCGGCAGTGAAGTCCCGCCGTCGGGGACAATCGAACTTATCTGCAAGCGAACAAGGTCCGGCGTCGTGCGAGCAAGCAAATGTCCGGTGTCTGTTACCCTTTGCGTTGTGGGTCCCCGTTCCCCATAATAGCCCCACAGGTTAAGTGCCAATTTATAGCTAATGTTGGTGTGCAGAGCTTCCAGATCGGCAGACGGCGTTCTTTGCTCAATTCAAGGAGGAAGATTGCGCCGACGCTTCTTCATTCAACTCGGCTCCCGACACAGCCAAGCAATGCGGCGCGTCGGTGCGGGGCGGTGCAAATGTATGTGACGGGTCGGTGATGGGCATGTGGGATGACGTCGTGTGTGATTGCACTTTTCTCTTCCTCTCGCTATGACCTCTGCTGGCTTTTTGCGGCACATAATCAGCGCGCAGCTCGACAGTGAACTGATACCGACTCATAGTACTTCCCCTGGCCCCTTAGACGACGTTGCGGACCCGATACCACGCAGCCGATCTACGGGTGACATTTGATGTGACAGCACGGCGCGCACAGCATGCGCCCCCTTCTCTTCGCACACAGCTCACACCGCCTCGGGCCCGTTAACAGCTATAAGTTCTACACAGAACGACTCACCCGCTAGTCATCCCACGTCGACCCCTTCCAGAAAACCACCCCCTACCCTATTCTATAAACACCGGATGTCCGCAGCCCCTTACACCTACCCTCCGTTCGACGCGTACACCATGGAGGGGTACTACGCCTCCCAACAGGGCCACTACGCACACAGCTCTGCGGGTTCTTCCCCGCCCTCCCCATCACACCAGCCCCTCAGCGGCCCCGTCCGGACACACCCGGCGATCGCCCGGGCCCGTCCGACGCCGTACGATCTCGACGGCCCGACCGCGCCGCGCAACTACGTCTCGCCCTCGCCCACCTCCCGCAAGGCCGTCCCCGCCTTCTTCGCCGCGCGCCGGCCCGGGCTCCCCGCCGGCATCAGCGACGAGGAGGAGGACGAGCTGACAGAGGAGCCGCCCGCAGCGAATGCGACGGACCAGGAGAAGATCGAGTACAAGCGCCGCCAGAACACACTCGCCGCCCGCCGCTCCCGGAAACGCAAGGTCATGCACCAGCAGGCCCTCGAGGACGCTGTTGAGCGCCTCACGAGGGAGAAGGAGGTGTGGCGCACCCGCGCGCTCATGCTCTCCAATCTGCTCCGCAGCCATGGCATCACCTGCCCCGAGTTCCTCGAGTAAACATCGATTCCTGCTCTCCTCTATTCTCAACTCCAATCGCCAATCGCTTGAAGAAGAATCCATCTGAAGAAGAAATCCTTTTGAGTCCCTTTTGGACTGGTGTTGTAAACGGATACGGACAACCATGTTAAACACCGTCATCCGCCCCCGACACGTGTGCGGCCGTCCGACATGTGCGTTTCTACTGTTTTTTTAAAAAGAATTTTACTTACGCGTTATAACAGACTTCGGTTATCCGATATGTTAAAGCAGCGACGGCCGGCATGGAGGCTGCTGGAAGCAACGCAGCCCTGTACTACCTCATTCCCTGCCACGACGGTGCGCACCGCATCGCGCCAGGATTCTGGCCGGCCTATACTACTAGCATAGCATTCCCTGGTCCGGAGAGGCTGAATAATTTCCCGGAATTTGTATATTCTACTGCTATGTACGAGTATAAGTGAAATATAAGGGTCCGTCAAATTTGTTGGTCATTGAGGGCCAAATAGTGCTGGCCAAAATTATATTATAATTGATCAAATATTGAATATATTCAGAATATTATAAATATATTATGTGCTTGGCTGATCACTTATTATGTTTGGATATATTATATCACAGAATAATCAAATATAGTTATGTAGACAATGAAAGCCATTTTCCCAGTCAGTGTGCTTACCAATAGTACTAATCATAGTCTGATTTAGACCTACTTCTGCTAAGTGTTATATATTATCCATTATATATAGTGTTTCCATCCAACAATACAAATATATTCATATATAACCTAGTAATCTGGAACATGAACTCTCAGGAGTTATCGCCATCTGGCAAACCCGCCTTTACATAGCCATTCCTTGGTAAAGATACCAATTGACACTGTTTTTGTTAAGCAGACATTAAGTATTTAATGTCTGCTTGAGGCCACAGAATACTATAGTATTTTGTTCAATTTTATAGGCCAGTGATCTGTGACACCTGTGGCAGAGATGTGTAACTCAGTCAATAACCAACTTTGATGTGGCCTCCTGCCTTATATGGTAGGTCTGCATGCCATAGGCAGAGAAAATTCAAAAATTATTATTTTGGACTGGGTTGGGACCAAAGAAACTTGTTGTGATCTGTGACTGGGAGAAAAATTTCAGGCAAAAATTTCAATGTGACCATGACATGATGAATTGATCCAAATAGCATAGTAGGTGTTCCATAGATACACTTCAACCAGGAATAGTTGAATACTTGAGTATAATTGAATATTCCTAGGCGGTAATATAATGTCTTTATAATATATTATATTATATTCAGGTATATTAATATTTAATGTCTGCACTGGTATCATATTATATCCATACTATCTGGAATATATTCAATATTTATTCAAAGATACTTATTTATACTCTGACAAGAGTTCAAGCAGTGAATAAAAGCTACAGAAATATGCAGAGTGACTGGGAGAGGATCCAAAGAGAAGAAACTCTAAGGGTCTGCCTGCTAGGTAGCTGACTATATACTGCTTATCCATAGCTGTCGTTGTCAGGCATAGAAGGCTTGGGCAGCCTTACAGGCCAGGTCCCAGGGCAACTGTCAGGAGGGTGTTGACCAATTCATGATAACGTGAGCAAGAAGTTGGGTTAGACTGAAATCGGAACTGGACCGGACGTCTCTGGGGGTGAAGAGCATGTATTATATCAAATCTATCAAGGGATATGTATTACTCAATCATAATTAACTATATTTATAACATATTCATATTTTGCAACTGAATATGATTATACTAAACTACAAATATATTATTTGGTGGAAGCTCCAGATATGATATGATTATAATATATATATATGTGTGTCCAGAATAATATAGTAGTCAAAATAGCATATTATAATCATATCTGGCCAGCACTACTGTGACTACATCCAAATTCTGATATTTGATCCCCAAAAATTGAGACAAAGTTATATGAATTGATTTGGGAGCAATAATCCTAGTTATATTCACAGCAAGGAAAACAAAGGAACACAATGAGGTTGAGGATATAGAAGTTTGATGTCCGGGATGCCGACTACTCATCAGCGGAATTGATGCCGGCCGATGTCACGATCAAGCCATGGTGCTCCCAAAGCTGGCTTCGATACAGCACTGAGTAAGTACCGAGGTCAGCCCATGTAATTCAGAAACTCAGGCCACATTGACAACATACTTGAATATCCAACAAAATCTTCTCGGCCTCTGCCCTTGATTGGTGGACCTCTGTCCACAATGTTAGATACTCCATCCAGGACTTGCGCGATGCGGTGGCGACCGACACGTGAAGCCGGTCCTTGGCGCTCCGGAGGCTGGAAACGATATAATGTCAGCCCGGTGTTGGGAGAAAAAAAAAATGATCCGGCCCTGACGACGGCTGACGTTGCCATGGCATTTTTTTTCACTGGGGCACCGTCGTCAACGGGCCCGGAGGTTTGAACGCACCTGCTAATGCGTCGTTGGAGGCGCTCTGCAATGACGACGCGATCGGCACGGCGTGCTGATCCAAACATGATGTCCTCTATGTCGGCAAACTTGGCGTCGAGTGCGACGAGCAGCGCGGCGGGGCGTGTTGATATGACCAGATGAGCAATGACACCGAGGAGGCAGGTGGCGGCAGCGAGTATCCGGAGGATGTGCTGAGGGATAAGGGCCACGACAGAGAGGAGCACTGTCGAGCAGACCTGGGATGTTGTTCCAGTATGCATGGACATTGGATACCAACTGGACACAGCTGGAAGACTTGGAAACGGAAAGGGGGGGTATGTCGCATTAAGTAGTGTTTCTCATGAGAAGCACTGTAAGCTGCCAGTCGCGGTATCACCAGGTGGTGTGCGCTCCGAGCCTCCGATACCAGGGATCGTGTGATTGGTCTCATCACGTGCTCCGTGACCATCGTGACGCGACGCGACCTGTCCCAAACTCCATCGTCCATGTCTATGGAACCTTCGCCTCCCTTTTACTTTCTTACGCACTACGATGTCTGTCAACCCCGTGGCCTCCCCACCATGTCATCTCCACCGTCTAAGGGACTTCAAAGTGTTGCTCGCAGTTGGAATCGTCTTTTCCCTCCCCATGGCCATTGTCCGCAACTCCAATCCTACGAGCCGCTGAATGATATCATGCCATCGTCAGATTTATATCGTGGCTCACATCCGCCGGCGTCCCAAGACATTGGCATTGGCATGTCAGGGCTTTGGCTGCCAACTTGAATTGTGCGGCTTCAAATCTCACTCCCGACACCGTGACTAAGCGATTGAAGGCTCCTCTGTGGCTGCTAGTAGTCATACTCGAGACTCCCAGTCTGCAGCTACTATCAACTCCACAATGGCGTATCCACAAGTGACGCGTCCCACACTAGCTGGTGTATGTGTATGCTCACGGCCTAGCGAACTTACGGCCAACGTTCTTAGCTCAATTGGGGCTTTAGTACTTGCTGTCAACCAAAGGGACCCGGAGACGGAGAGGCATGGGCTGAAAGTCGACAAATTGTTGCGGCACGACGATCTAACAAGAGATAGATCATTTTCAACTGTGCGTCGCTAATGTCTTTTGTGGAATCTTACCATAGCATTTAGTTCCTTCTATGTAGTAAACTTGGTCAAACAACTCGGGGAACTTGGAAGATGGACTGACCACGACAATTTGGACGCCGCCTGGTGGGATCTGCGGCGAGTTCTTGAAAGCGGATGCCGACTTCAGCGAGAACGTTGCATGGACAGTGCCTCTGTGTCCCTGGTAGTGCCCATAGACGATGGTCACCGGGTCGCCGGGCTGGAAGGCCCGCGCCACGTCACAAAGCGGGACGAGAATCTCCGTCTTCCCGTCAAACAACGTCAGTAGGGTTACCGGATGAGGCCCTGATGTAGATGAATCCACCCCGGTGAGCTACCACCTACCATACCGTAAGACCCGTTAGGTAGATTTTTTTGTAAGTAATTGATAGACCTAAGAAGGTCCGTTCCAGCAGGAGTGTGACGTCCGTTCGACCGGTGATCCGGAGCGATTACGCTTCTCTCCCTCTCTATTCTCGCAGCCTCTACTATGGCACGCGACGGGCGACTCCCAAAGACGCGCTCTTCCGCTCGGCACGCGCAGGCCCGAACTCGCGGGGCTGGTCACTATCAAGTCAGCCCTCTCCGGTCTCGCACAGGCCACATGAAGCGCGTGATTCAACCTACAAGGAACCAAGCAATGCGCCAATCAGCCCTTCAATCTCACCTTCAGGCGCTTCTTGCTGGCGATGTACCTGCGGCCGAGAGTTCAACGGCCAACCATGGTGATGGAGAAGCGATGGATTGGGAGGATGAAGAGGAAGATGAGAGGGTTGCTGATTCGGAGGAGGCTCCAGCTTTGGCACCATCGACACCGATTCAAGTTGCCCTTCCCACGAGAATCTCCAACGCAAGGCGAAGCTCTAAGGCCAGTGTCGCAGACGCTTGGAACACCCTTCTACCAGAACTCGAAGCTCCCTGGGCTGCTTTCCACACGGCAACCTATGCTGCGCCACCTACCCATATTGCCGCCTCCATCCACCACTCTTGCGAAGCGGGATGCACATCCTCCATTCGCTCCACTGTGCAATGCCTTTATCCCACTCGTGCGTCCACATTCTGCTGACATTTCAATGTAGACTTATGATTACTAGACATGCAGACTGTTTTGATAGCGACTTGCAGCTGCAAATCTCTCTGTGCGATCCTCGTCGAAAACGGGGTCTTCCCTGCATCTCCTCGGCGACCCCGCATAGGCGTATCCATCGACCTTCTCGAGCTTTACCGGGCAGTATTCGAGCGATCGTGCGATGCCATCACGGCGCTTGCTCACGCGCTTAGGACTGTTTATCTGCGTCGCGGATACCATGTTCTATCTGAACAGGTATGGGTTTCTGCTCTAATTCACAGCCTAGTGTTAATCCTAGTGTTAGAAATCCGGTGCTCTCTCCACCGACCCCTTCCGACAGAGCCTCACTCAAGCGGTTTTATGGTCCAGCAACCTCCGAGATCGCCTTCAATCACATGTTAATGCACTATTAACCTCTGCGGACAATGCTCTAGCTCTGGAAACTGACGACAACATTCCTTCACCCTTGGGTTCTGCAGAAGTGGTGGCTACGCCGCCTACGACAGCTGACGCGGCAGCTCCCTTGGCATCGCCTACAACGACTGATGCGGCAGCTCCATTGGCATCGGCTCCACCGCTCCCAGCTTCCGATGCCACAGCTCAACGGACACTACAACGGGGTCGTGCAGACCGAATCCTACGCGAACGCTGCCCGTTGTGTTTTGGTGGCACAGAATGGGGCCGTCCGCTCAGCGTGTACATTTTCACTTTGTTGATATTTCCTAAGCTGATTTATATGTTAGCGGAGGTGATGTTCAGCTGGCTGGGGATGCCTGCTTCAGCTACCGCCATCTGCGCTCTGCTGGTGATGGCCCAACAGGATATCATCCAAGATTCTTTGTTCCCAAGGCCAAGATTGATGCGGTCAAGGTGCGAATGGAGGAGGCGAGAAAGCGACCTGTCCAGGTCACAGCACCAGATGATGGGTGTTCAGAGAATTGGACTGCCGCCAACGAGAAGAAGAGACTTGCGGATCCGAAAAGATATGATGCAAGTGGTATATTTGCGCTTACCTGCCGCCATTCCCAAGTCCTCTTTACATGCAATATTGACACTCCAGGAGAGCGCCACCATTATATTATTGCCCTCCTGGAGGAAGTGCTGTCTCATCTTCCTTCGGAGGCTACAGCCTGTCAAGCGTATGATGTTGGCTGTATTGTTGATCGGACTCTTACTCTGGTCAGTGTTTTCTTTTATATTTGCAATTGAGTTTTATGTATTGACACAGTATAATATTCTTGACCCTGGTGTTCGGCAGCGTGTGGTATTTGTGCTCAATGCCATGCATGCTTATGGGCATGAATGGAGCTGTCAGCTAAAGTACAACCCACGCATGGTAGTTGGAATGGGGTTGACAGACAACGAGTGCATTGAGCGTCTCTGGTCACGAATCCGAAAACTTATTCCCATCACTCGTGGGCAATGGGTATGTTCTAGATATATTATTATACTGTTGCTGACACAACTAGAATTCGAGACGTATCTGGACAATTGACCAATACGTAGCCTTCGTCAACGAAGATGGATTCTACAATCTCGGAAATTGGATTGTTCGACAAGAGTCTAAGAACTATGCTGGCAAGTTCAAGACTGCTCGGGCCAATCTAATTCGTGCTGGAGTTCCAATTTCAGAGCTTCAAACAGAATGGGAGGCTCAGAGAGCATCACAGACCTCTCTCCGTAGGCGTGCGTAGCCATTTGGAGCTACACTGAGCACCGCTAATACTATGTAGATGCTCCAAAGCGTTTGCGGCGTGAGCTCGACAAAGTGATTGCACTCCAGGCTCAGATCGATCTTGTCGAGAAGTCGATTCTGGAGGTTCGTCAAACAATAGCTGGTGACGCCACTGCCTCCGATGCCCAACAACTTTTACGCCAGCTCGAATCAACCCACTCAGAGCTTTCCAAACAGGCTGAGGCACTGTATGCTTCACTGAACATTTCTAAAATCTATCCCGAACTCCAAGGTCTCTCTCCCGAGGTTGCACATCTACTTCTGATGATGCGCGACCTCAAGATTAGCATACGGAGGAAGGCAGTAGGGTCTTTTCAAGAGTGGGAGACACTCGACCAAGCAGTATCAGGCCGCCGGGAGCCTCTAGGTATTTTCAGTCTACAATTGGTAGCCTCTATTGACAGTATCTAGGAACAAAGTTATATCAGGCAACTCGCTCTACCATCACCAAACGGCAACCTGCATTGATGAAGGCTCTCAAAAAGTTTAATGATTATTGTACAGAGTTTGAGCAACTTCGACCTGCAGACTGCCATATTCCTGTTCCACATCCACTTCCTACTCAACTCAGTGCACTCCGGGAGGACACTTCCTTGCATGAGGATGTTTGGATCACACCATCAGAGGGACGACCGCCACGCTGGCTCGAAGATGAAGATGTTCGACAAGGTATTCGGAGCCTCCTTACTCTCAATCGGTGTCAGGAGGAGATGGTTCGCTTGGCAGCAGAGCGTCGCAACATGCACCAGTGGTTAGAGGATGAGGACAGAATTCTGACCTATACAATGGAACACTACCAAGGTTAGACTCTTACACCTTCCAGTGTAAAGATTGACTTGGCAATAGAGCCTCTCTTGCAACTATATTTGCATGAGCGACGGGAATATCTCTCTATCTTGCGGGCGTCTTGGGGCCAGTGCTTAGCTGGACCTTCTGTCCGTCCACTCCGTTTTACAGGACCAACAGCACCTATGCCAGCACCTCTATCTCCAAGAGCCTCCTCCCCCTCCCCCTCCCTCCCTCCAACCCCTCAGCTTTACTCTCTCCCTACATCAACCCAAATCATACTGGAACCATCTGATGAGCTCAATGATCAAGACATTGAAGTAGCACCCTTTGACTTACTTCCAGAAGAGTCAGAGCCTAGTGTGGATATCACTGTGGATGGTAGTATTGATGCACATGAGGCACTCATTTTTGAGAGTGAAGAGGGTGATGGTCTGGATATCAACTATACTTTTAAGATTGAGGTCCAACCAGTGAGTTATTTGGTTTGAGTTATTTGTTGGATTTATTCTTTGTAGCCTCCCAGACAAGTAGACCTACATCTCTTCCAGGTCCTACAAGAATATGCAACCAACAACCCAAGTATACCGAATGCTCCCACATCCCGAACTATTGTTGACACCGTTGGGCGAAAGCTCCATATCGACTCCGAGGACCTCAAACGCCTCCAGCATCGCACTCGCTGGCTCAACAATTTCTGTCTCAATGGTGTTGCTGCCTTGGTTATGAAAAAAATTTGCTTCCTCTGACATCTCTTGTGCACTACTGAGTACTCTTGACCTTCACAGAGTCCAATATGATACCAATGATTCTGTTCTCTGGCACCATCTGGCTCCAACTGAATATTGGAATAAAGAGCTCTGGCTCATTCCTATTCATCGTAGGGCAACAGCAACACTGGGTCTTTGCTGTTGCCTCCCCCAAGGAGCAGATGCTGTTTTTCTATGACAGTTTTGCAGAGATGACTGGGTGGAGCTCTGATCTTTCAGTACGTGTTTTCTGCTCATGTCCAATATTATTAATGCTCCTTATAGGATCTGATGAAGCTCTTAGCTGCCATGACTAGACTGGCAAGAGCACATGGTCATCCATTGTCTCATCTACAGCAAACAAAACCATGGCTTGCACATCCACTATTTGAGATGGTAAGGGAGCCTCTACTATTTTTTACTGTTTTTTCCATACACTGACATCTGCACCTAGGGAGCAGCACAGCAACACAATGGCTATGATTGTGGCATTTGGGTTCTTTGTATGATCTTAGCTGTGCTTAGAGGCTTCTCTGCCATTGACCTCACAGAGGAGCAAATTGGTACTATTCGGTCTTTCTTTGTAAAGCTTATACTATCAACTTGAACAAAACTACCCTAACTACCCTTGGAGGAACTTGAGATAGTATAAGTGAACGATTTTGCGTGCCTCCCATTGCAAAAACAGCTGCCACATCACGCAGCTACATGGTTGAGTAATGGGGTCATAAAAAAGAGACTCGGCGCGGTGCCATGCAGCAATACGAGACCGGAGCTCATTTCGCAATCTATCAGCCACTCGTTTGTATCCCAGTTGCCCAATATCGTGCTGGAGCAGTTGGTCGCGACGGTTCTGATCACGAAAATGAATGGCGTGGAGTGTGATTGCAAGGCGTTGTATTGCCTTGGGTCCCAGATCAAGTGTCGTCTCGTCAATCGTGAATGGAGGGGCATTTTTCCATGGAGCCACCAGAGTTTCATCGGGAGAGATTGGCGTTGACACAAGATCTTGGAAGAGCGGCGACTTCTCTGGCAGTAGATAGCGCGAGAATATCATTATCTTGTCGCTGAGGGCAGGCAGGCGTGATATCGATTGGAGTGCAACTTTGCGCCGGCGTCGAAGCGCATTTAGTTCAGTGCGAATTGTTTTTCCACTATATCTCTTGGTTAGAAGACAGAAGAGTAGAAGAAAGCAACGCACCGTGCACTATGGTTATATGTTTGGTTGTAACGCTGACGTGCTTGAGCACGTTCTTGAGGAGTGTTGTATAACTTTCGGCGGCCCATGACAAGAAGTGACGGTATGGAGTAAGCCTGTATTGTGGCGAGTAACGCCAGTGATCAGTATTCCTGCAAGCATAGGAATTCTTCTCCAGAACGCGGAGAAGAGAAGAGGAAAGTAGCGGACACTTACCCAGAGACCCCCAGTCATTTCTTTGGAATATTTGATGAGGTCGTTGGAGAGTACGATGCTCGTCTTGACGATACGAGTTTTATTTCCGAGGCTCCGCGAACTGGGTGGAGGCTTCATGGAGCTGACCGAGGAGCTGATCGGAGCCTCCATTGAGAAGGTTAGTGTTGTAATCTGCTGTGAAATTTCCAGAGGTGTCTGCATTTCTTTGAACATCTTCATTCTTACCTGAAGAGTAGATTTCCTAACAATTGCAGCCAGAATTCACCGTATACGCATCAACAGGTGGAGGCGCTTGGAGGTGATGTCACACTCTGTGACTCTCTCACTTTGCCTCTCGAAGAACGATGGGTGGCGGCGGCGGCACCTCTGCAGGTGCCTCCCAAGCTCTACCTCCAGCTCCACACCGACTCAAGCTATCAGTGGCGTCCTCCCTGCACGTGCTCGAAATTTTTTTGCCTCCTCACCTCTTGCACAACAATCGCCCACCTCCCGTTCGTCACCAAGACAGCTACTTCTCAAGTCAGCCAGCGCTTTATCAAGGTAGTCCATCCTTCCTACCGAAAAATTGAGTACTGAGAGGTGTCAGGGCACCACCAAAAGGCGCCACGTTGTCGTCGCACTTGTGGCCTCCATCGGCCAACCTCCCTCAAATTTTTACTTGGAAGTGAGTTTTAGCCCCTCTCTATTACGCTGCAGAGACAGATGATCATCTTTCGAAGGCTTCTTGCTTCGTCTACCTTCGGTATCGACGAGCGCTTCTCGCGCACCTGCCATCAAAACGCTCGACACAGGTCAGTGTGTTCGTGAAGCCATGGTTTTATTACTCACTATCGCTCAGGAGAGGCTCTTTTTCTTCAAGCTGTCTCTGTAACAATGTCGACTGATCAAAATGCGATTTCGTCCCCTCATACACCAACCAAAAAATGGAGCCCCATCTCTGCCATCGAGTGGGCAGTCCTACTCGGAGCGACTAGGAGAAAACGACTTCGCAACTTTTGGCACGCAAACGTTTGCCGACATTCCATCGTTGGCTGGACCGAGATTTGGCTCTATCCCCTCACTTGCCAGCCACAGATTTATTTCCGGCCTTAACTACCTGGTCCCGCCACTAGACGAATCCGGCAACATCACTCTAGACCCTGACTTGGGCAATATTAGCCTCCCCCATATTGATACTATCGAAGAGGCTCAACGACATCTGCACAACAACGTCATCGGTCAGGGTACCAACTTCGAGAGCATCTTCCAAGAGCAGTACTCTCTCGAGCAGCAAGGTGGTGGACGGGGCAGAGCAGAAGATGATGAGGACCCCTTTCTTGACGACTCGACCACCAACTCCCAATTCGCTCAACGATACGGGGACGACGACGATGAACTTCAAGTTGACGACTCGGTCATCGACGCGCACCATCACCCTTTTGCTCCGCAATACGACGAGAACAACGAAGCAGGCTCTGATAACCAACAAGGAGGTGGACGCGGCGACCCGCCGCCATTATCTCCAGAAGACCAGCGCTCAACTAGATTGCGCTCAAGTATCCCAACCTCTAAACGTGGTGCCAATAATCCCGACTTCCTTGCGTTGCAGCAAGCTCGCCGTCAGCTGCAACAACCCGAACAGGAGCCTCTTATCCCCCGATTGGCAGCCTCTCACCTACCACCGCCTCCATCCTCTCAGCTCGCACCGCCGCCTGTCAATGACATCGACTCTTGGGTTCACGTTCCAGAGCCCGAGAGCACTTTGGAACCAGAAAAATTGGAAGGCAAAGTCGCAACAGCGGCAGAGAAAGTAGCTGCAGAGAAGGCAGCGGTTTCGCAGCCTCCGGCTGTATCACCAGTAGCCTCGTCTCGCTCTGTTCGCTGGGCTGATTATGTCCCTCCACCCCGCTTCTCTTCCGAACCGCCTACGCCTCAACGTCGTCCCGACAAATTCATCCTGCCTCAAAATTTTCGCGGCTCTTTGAACGAGTTTCATGCCCAAGGCGGCTTCGAAGAGGTGTCCTTGCCTCCCGCGCCTGAAGCCTGGGCCGCGAAGCATACAATTTCAAAACCGCCGACGCTTAAACCCAAAGGTGCTCGGTCCAAAGAGAACAACGACATTATCATGTCTGTATTCGGGAAACTTGTCGACCTCATCAACGAAGCAGCTCACCAGACCGGCTTTGAGCCTGCGCACATCCAAGATATTTTAATGAAGATGCTCGACGGCACACCTGCGCGCGTGCACCCAATTCCTGGAACATTTATCAGAGTTTCGTCGCAGATCCCCAACACCGCCTTCGCGAGATGCGAAGAGTCTACCCAGACTTTAAACCTCCCCAGATGGAGGACCCCGAAGATGCGACAAAAACGATAGACGCGGACTTCGACATGACGCAAGCTGACATCCGCCTCGCCTACAATGCGTTCAGCAAGGAGCTTGGATCTGGAGCCAACGAAATCCTTCGGACCTACCAGGCTGTCAGTGCGAACAACGCTGGCCAGACAACGCAGCAGTCCCGACGAGTGCTATTCAACCGTGTCGTCAAAGATTGCAAGGCCTCGGTATGTTTACTTATCTCCACATCTATTCTACACCGACTTAATCATCTTCCAGCTCGATCGCGTGCAGCGCTTTGGATTCCAGGGTATCGCTGTTGTTGTGGGGCCAATAATTCATCAAGATAAGGACCTTGGCTGGATGCATACGACTGATCAGCTTGAAGGGGTAAGCTTCTTGCTGTTTGGCTACCATAAACTCTGGCTTATGGCTCTACAGATCTTTGATGTAATGCATTGTGACTCCGATGATATTATCGCTCTCTATCAGTCAATTGCATAGTAAGTTTCACAGCTGCTGCCTCGGTGACTCATCTTAAATGAATTACAGCAAAAGCGAAGTTGCACCAATAGCAACTGCCTTCAGAGAGGCTCTCGGCAGCGGCGGCGGCACTCCTGGTGGCGCAATCAAGGAGGCTCGAGGTGACGGTGGTGGCGCAACCAAGGAGGCTCGAGGAGGCAAGAAGGCTCGAGGAGAGGAGGGTGGTGTGATAAAGCGAGCTCCCGCGTCTGCTCTCAGCACCAAGGCCAAGGGCAAAGGAAAAGCCAAAGCCCGCTCCCCCTCTGATTCCGAAGACTCCAATGACGAAAACGACTTCCCTGCCTCCGAACTGTCTGGTACTGAAGGAGCTAACAAGCTGCGTGATGTCTTGTCGGACGCAAGCATAGAGGATCTTGGGATAGACGTCTTTCGGGCGTATAGCAACGGGAGATTTGGCGTGGCAACTCCTCGCGCATATTTTTGGCGCCCATCGCGTGCGTATATACAACTATCCCACGCGCACGCTGCTCCCCAACGAGTACACGTCGGGGAAGGGCATAACATCCCTTACTCTCAAGCATCGTCGAGGGCTCATGGCTGCGGTGAAGGCCAGGCACCTCCATCGGTTCGGTGGCTTGCGATTCGAATGGATTCCCGACACGATAACTGATACTTCAGGTATGTCTATATATTTTTTCTCACTATTGCTTGCTAACGTCTTGGATAGATTTGCTTGTTGTTCTCCGTCGCAATTACTCGCGTAGACCACCAGACACCACAGACGATACAGTTCTACGCAAATTCTGGCGCTCTTCTAACGGTCACGGCCTCCAACATCTTGACGCCAATGGATATATGTGGCTCTGCTCCTACGACTTGGAGCTCAACCCCAACCCCTCCAACGGAAACAAGAAGATGCTCGTCAAAGCCCCGCCTGTTGTTGTGAAGAAGGAGGGAAAAACTAGTAAGAAGGTTGGGCAGGGGAAGAAAGTGGCTGGTCGGAAAGCGGAGGCTTCATCGGAGGAAGAGGCTCAAGAGACCCCATTTGCGACGGATGACTCCGAGTGCGATACACAGCGCGATGCTGATGGAGATATCCAGATGGGGGATCTTAGTGTGGGCAATAGCGAAGAAGATCGCGAATTTATTCCCTGGCCGCAAAAAATCTCGCGCGAATCCCCCTCGACATGCTGCTCCCAAGGTCGCGGGTCGCAAGAAAAAAGCAAGCGGCACGGTTCGCCAACGAAGACGTTGAAATGCAATCTGTCATTGGCAAAGACAAACAAGGACCTTCGCGTCAACAGACGGTTCAGATTGGAGGGGGTAGCCTACCTACTGCGCAGCCGAACAGCTTCGTCAAGCCCTCCCGCGATCGAACTGGAGCCTCCAAGCATGTCCGTCGCTCTGATGACTCCGACGACGAGTCTGACCATTATTCCTCGCCTTCACCTCGAGTTGGACCGCCGACCAATCTCAAAAGACGTGGTGACCGTGCCGACCCGCCTCTCTATACTCCGCCCAACAAAAAGCGCCAACGTCAGCTGATGGATTGTGTGGAGATCACGACTCCACCCAAGGCCACGAGCAAGACTTTGCACGGCAACCATGATAGGCCTGCTGCAGTAGCTCAGAAGCCCAAGTCCGAGGCTGCGAATAAGCGCGACACCGTTGTTGGAGCTGACAAAGCTCGCTACGAGCGCGTGCCGGCTACTCAGCCTCAGGGTCCTACCTCTCAAGTCCCCCTGCGGGCTTCCAACTTCAAATTCAATGCAGCCAAGATGCATGCTGGAAGCGATAAGGCTCGCCACGAGGGTGCGCCGGCTGTTCAGTCCCACAGTGCTGACCTGCCATCTCGGAAAACTGTTGCGCCGCTCACAAAAGCCGGGCCTACCACCAGCAAGACATCCATCCAAACTGCGGCACCTCGTGATTCGCAAGCGGGCACCTCTGTTAATCGTCAAGCCCGCTCTGCCCCGAGTCCCCCTCCAGTCGCTGGACCGTCCCGTGCGGGCCCTTCGGTGAATCGTCAAGCCCGCTCTGCCCCGAGTCCCCCTCCAGTCGCTGGACCGTCCCGTGCGGGCCCTTCAGTGAATCGTCAAGCCCGGTCGGCACCCAGCCCCCCTCCAGTCGCTGGTCCAAGCACTGGGACCAGCTCATCGTCGATGGCACTCCTTCAGACGCTTGCTCGACAGTGGGATACATTCGATGAGGCGAAGAAAAGCTACTACCTTGGAAGGATGAGCGTCGACTCGCAGATGGTATTCTTGGATCTGTTGGCGGCTGCGGGCAAGATTTAAGTTCTCGATTGCTTTCTTGATGTGCTGTGAACTCTGCTTTCATATCTCACTGTATTGCTGTGCGTATTGGTAGAACCTGTATATTTTTTTGAAATCAATGTCATGTTTTTGTACAATCTCTGTAGTTGAGTGTAGTGGCGCAGACTGGGAGCCGCATATAGCTCCGCTACAGATCCAAAAAGGCGCCGGCTGCCTCCTGGCTCCCGGCTACCAGATCCTTTTAGGTCTATTATTTACCTACAAAATAGTGTACCTAACAAGGTGCTACGTAAGGGTTCCGGTAGCGCACTTAGGTGGATGAATCCAGCCTCGTGACATGCCCTACGCGCATCCGGTGTCGTCCTTCCACGACCAGAATGTGATCGCCAGCCTGTACGTGCGCCGGCCCGGTAAGAAAATGCGGCCGGAGCAAGTCGGCGCTGATGGTGACCTCGTCTTGCGGGTCGGTGGTGTGCTCGAGGAGCTCACTCACGAGCGTTGGCGAGAGGACGTTGAGGCGAACCCCATGGGTAGCGACGCGCACGATTACGTAATACATGCCCATGCCGCCTGCGTCGACGACGATGCCGCTTTGTCGCCGGCTGCCATCAGCGTCGCGCACTGGCAGGACGACTCTGCTGCCGGAGACTGGCTTCGGGGCATTCCGGGAACAACTGATGGCGCATACGACGTGTGCATCGGCCGCCTCCCACAAACGGAGTTCCACAGTCGAAGGTGTCGCAGGTAAGGTCATTATCAAGCGAACGTCCATTGCGGGCTCGATGCGGTAGAGAATGCAGTGGGCTTCAGGAAGAGGTATGGTTTGGTGTAGCGCACATGAGCATTGAGAGTTGATGTGTAATAATGCAGGACCACCCTGAGCAGAGGTCGCATCGAACGATGTCACGAACCACAGCTCTTGCTCTACGAGAAGAACAAGCTGTCCCGCTGGGAGACACGCGCTCCCCGTGCGGTTCACGTGAACGCGACCCCTGGCAGATCCTGTCTTTAACCACTCCCCGTCACTCACTTCCATCGGCATTGCCAACAGTTTTGACGAGCCACGACAATGATCGCAAAGATGACTGAAGACAGTCAGCGGGCACCAGATGACAAAACTTGAACGCGGTGGGTATCCTACATGGTAGTCAGTGGAAGAAGTGGCCACGTTGTTGATGCCGGCCCATTGCAGGGTCAACATGGGCACAGCTTGGGTACAGCCACGTCAGGCCCGAATGTATGAAAAACTTGAACTAAATCCAAAGAAGTCCATGCCGTGAGACGTCGGTGCCGCGTTGGAGGTGTTGATCCGCCCGCGGACGTGAGTCACTGTGACACGACGCGACTTGTCAGATGTCTCGTTCCTTATACATAATGTCATTCCCCAACTTTCCCAACCCCCAGGACGCACAATGTCGCCCACAGTCACACCCATAGACTTCTCCGCCACTCCCCTCGCGGACTCATACACGGGCTTCTACGCTGTTGTCCTCGACAACGTCTTTAGTGCGGACGAATGTGGGATGCTACTCGGAGCGGCACAGACGGCGGGAACGTGGGCGCCGGCCGGGATGATGGCGCATGCTGACAAGGAGACGGTGCACTCAAACTTCCGGCACAGCGAACAGATCGTGCTTGTGGACAAGTCGGTGGCGGCGGGGGTGTTTGAAAGAGTACGGGAGCTGGTGAGTGAACTGGGGCTATTGGAACCGCAGGGGAAGTGGGGTGGGATTGTCGGGAAGGCAAAGAAGACCAAAGAAAAGCAAAATTCCGGGGAGGAGCGCCCGCCGAGGAAGTTTGAGGTCAAAACGCAGAAGGCGAGTTGGCGGCTTGTCGGGTGCGTTTGCTGCGTTATCTACTCGACTGCGGGCTCATACCTAGCATCCCAGGATGCACCCGCGATTGAGCTTTCTGCGATATGGCCCAGGACACTACTTCAAGCCACATTGCGATGGACTGAACGAGCTCACTGAGGGCGTTTCGGTCCCACAAAAGTCCTTCGTCACAATTCATCTGTACCTCAACGGCCTAGACGACTCGCCAGACCCACTCGTTGGCGGTGCCACGCGCTTCTGGACCCCGGACAAGAAGCATTTCATCGATGTCGAGCCGCGGGTGGGGAGAGTGCTGGTCTTCCAGCAGCGCATGTTAGTTCATAGCGGAGAGGAAGTCGTCAGTGGGGTCAAGTACAGTATGCGCGGGGACTTGATGTACGAGAAGACAGAGTGAATGAGATGCCTCGGCTCGGCGCTGGGCGGTTGCGACAGAACTTCTGATGGGGACTACTGCCTTTGCTCTGGACCAGCATGTCCTCGCAGGCGCCGGCTTCTGGACTCCGTTTGCAAATCGCTGCTATCGAGCAGGAGATTGCCTCCTTGCTGGCTCAAAAAGCAAAGCTTGAAGAAACCCTTGCGACTGTTCCGTTTCCCGCTCTCTCGCTGCCTCTCGATATTGCGCGGCTCATCTTTCATCGCGTGGTCCCCGATCACCCCAGCAACAGGCGCATAGTCGAAGCGCTCAAGATTGCGGGTGTCTGTACTGCCTGGCGGGACATCGTCTTTACAGCGCCGGAACTGTGGACCACTGTCGCAGTCAAAACTGGCAATGTGGCGATGGTGCAGGCGCTAGATACGTGGCTTCCGCGAACGAAAGGATCCGCCTTCAAGCTCATCATCAACTTCGAACGCGACGAAAGAGTGGCTACCGCGGTTTGGGCTGCCGCAACCAGATATTCCGCGCAGTGGCAGGATGTCTTGCTCACCACTGGCGACTCGCTCACTCTCCCATTGCCCAACTCGCTCCCGGCACTCACGGCGCTCACCATCCAGGGCGATTTGGCACTCGAATGTGCTGATGGGAGCACTGTTGATGCGCCGCACTTCTCGCATCTCTCGCTCGACACACCGATTCTGATGTTCCAACTGGGACTGCCGCTTGAGCAGGTGGCCACGCTTTACCTCCAGGGCGAATCCTACTCCGGGCTCATCCCTATTCTTGCGAAAACACCCGACGTGCGCGACCTTACGCTCGACTTTTCCGACTCAGACGGCCTCGTGGCCAGCGCCGGCGCTTCGTCCCCACTCGTGCTCACGTGCCTACACACACTTGAGTACAACCATGACCTTCCAGAGGCGATTGTCATAGCGCTTGTGCTTCCCGTGCTGCACACCCTCCGTTTCCGTAGCGAACTTCCCGGCCCCTTCAACACCGTGCCGACATCCCAGCTCCTTACCATGCCAGGCACCGGCGCTCGTCGCGCGCTGCGCGAACTCGAGATCGGCCGGACACGTGGCCACACCGTGACCTCGCAGGTGATGGCGTGGCTTGCTGGGCTGCCGACACTCACCCGGCTCACAATATGCCTGGACGGCTTTGGCCCGGAGGACATCGCCACATTCTGCAACGAAATTGCTGGCGGGGACCTCCTTCCCGAGCTCGAGACACTGCTTATCACGCACATGAAGCGCGCGGTTGAGGCACAGGTCCTGGCAGACGTGGTCGAACGCAGGTGGCGCTGGGTCGGCGGGGGATCGCGGATAAAGAAGTTCGAGGTGCAATTGGTGGGAGAAGATGTGCTGGGGTATGTTGAGAGGAGGTTGGGAAGTGGGCAGATGAAAGGGCTGGAGTACATGATCTCGCAAGGGCATAGTACTCATCCGCACAACTTGAATATGTATTGAATAGTAACAAAGAAGTAGAGAAAACGGATTAGACGCCATGCGACTGCCCCACTCTACCGGATATAGTAGGATGACCTTGTTAACTGTACTACTTACATCTGTAAAGGCTGTAATGTTACTAACGTACCACCAAAAAAACAGGTTAAAATGTGATCCCATGACACCAAAACTCTCTTTAGTCACTGGCAGTGCTTCCAGATTTTATTGTTGGTTTAATTTATATCTGAATTTCTCGACATTCAATATTTATCACCTAATGTCACGGATAAGACCCGGCCCGTCCGCTCCGGCGCTGGTGTCGGGCCATTGCGGGCCCGTAACACGCAGCACGTGACGACGGGGAACATGCGCCCCAGTAGGAGGAACGCACACGTGGGAAGCACGTGACCGAGAACGACGCGTCGAGCCATCGCCGAGCCCAACTCGACACCAGGGGACTGGGGAGGAGTAGCGCCTGGCCCGCAAGGGATGTGCGATCGTCCCCTCTGCGGCCAGGAACGGGAGCGAGGAGGAGGAGGAGAGGCCAGGGTGTCCGATCACCCCCTTTGCGGGCCCACGTATATAAGGCGCGATAGTGTACCCTGTACTCTATCGCTTAGATCGTCTGAAGAACTACCTTACTCCGTGCGAGGAGACGCTATCGACTCATCGGGCCCGACACGACCCGATTCGAACCGTCGACCACCGACTACGACAAGGGACCGAGTTCACGGGCCCTTTCGGTTTCGATCTACACCGCCCGCCGTACTTGCGGGCCCGACTATCCGTCTGTTCTGTTCCGGGCGCGCGTTCTTAGGAGAAGTCCTTGCACGGCCCGACCCGCAGTCTGACACCTAAGAATTTGATCAAGAGCATAGTTACTCAATATAACCCTGCTTTATGGCATCTTAGTTTGACCTGCATTTCATACAGAAACCCCAGAATAAATCTCAGGAACTTGAATATATAAAATATCAACACACTTGTGCAGTCTGTCAGTGCAGAGATTTTGAAACTAACATACTTCATATACAAATATCATATATGTAATAATGTTACACCTACAAGGCAGAATGCACAACTTACAGTACAAGACACATATGAGCCTCAAGTGGGATATCCAAGCTCTCCATCCAGTGGGCTGAGCATCAGCATACACTATTCCGAGTCATGCTGACCAGAATTTTTATTCTGTGAACAACAAGTAAAAAATATAACATACATATAGTATGATATTCATTGGAAATGAGCACAATCCGACAGTATGTACTGTACTGAGTTTCAGCAAGCATTGATGTAGCTTGTCAGCGCGCTCTTCTCCGCAGAGTCAATAGTCAGCGCATAGAAGTGTTTCTACCAGTGCCTGTCAGAAACCAACACATTGACTTCAGCGGGAACAACTACCCACCACTTGTATCCAGGCGCGGATGTACGTGCACACGTAGCTCGCGAGCGGGGGCACGAACTTTGCGGGGTCCTTGTCGCCCTTGGACTGGTTGAGGTTGTCCGTCACTGACGCCCCGATATCAGCACTCTTTCGGAATTGAAGATGGAGGGCTAGGCGCACCGGCAACGAGCTGAGGCCTTGTCAAGTCATTCGCGAAGGCCTCGCGCTGGGCCGGTGTCCAGTTGCGCGCGCCGGAGAGCCACGCCTCCTTGAGCGGGACGAGGTGGTCGATGTCGAGGTCGCTTGCAAGTGTGGTGGCGACGCCGTCATATGGGCTCACCCAGTTGCCCGAGGTCGCTTTGCAGGCGGAGTCGGTTACGACGGAGGTGCCGTCGCGTTTGAGCACCGCTGGGGGGGAGATATGAATCAGTATGTGGGATGGAAGAAACGAGGAAGCCGTACTTTCGCGGGTATCGCATGTGCCAGAGACTGAAAATGATCAGCTTATAAAAAGAAAAGGGGGATAGGAAAAGGACGCACTGGTGTCCCAGATCTTGAACAGGTCACGGCTGTACGCGGGCGAGTTGCTGTCTGCCGCGACAACGAGCTCAGAGAGGTAGGTCTTGGCGGTCGCGACGGAGACCGGTGTGGGCAGCGCTCGTCCGGTGAGCGGGCGAGCGTTGGGGATGGGCGCTGCGGAGGCACCGACGATGACAGCGAGGACAAGGAAGAGGTGCATGTCGAGAGGTGAGCAGGCAGCAAAGCATGCGGTCTTGATCCAGGATTGCTTATGAGCAGCGCTCCTGCCGCACCTCCATTGTCCAAAACCATCTTATCTTGAGCGCATTTCGTCTTATCGACAGCAACGTGCGACGAAGACACGCATGGGCTCGCATGGGCGACAGTTCGACGGCGGAGGATCAGCGACGGGTGGAGTGGATAGGCTGTGAGAAGAGTCAGAAGACGGGTGCTTCATGTGGCGTTATCGCCAAGCCTGAGGCCGTTTACAATTTGCAGAGCTCCCGGGGCCAGGGTACAAACACAAACCGCTCATGAATCCCGCCGAAAAGGCCACCGTCGAGCGGAACCAGGAAACTTCATCCGTGGTCGTCGTGGTCGTCAAGAGAACGAAGTCGGAAGCCTCGCTGACAGCCGCCGCCGGCGCACCGCCACCGTGATTGGCAGACTTCCATTTCGGGCAGGGCCACAAACGGCGATCGCCCACACGTGCACCCACAAAGCACAATGCCACTGTTGTTTTATCGAGCGTGACTCATCCAGTGTTGACTCTTTTCTCTCTCTCTCTCTTCCACACCACTCACCACCATGTCGATGAATCCCACCGCAAATAACTTGAAGCGCGCACGGCCGGCGTCCCCGGAGCCCCACACCAACGTGAAACAAACGGGAAATGAGCGCCACGCCGCCGGCGGTGTGGGGGAAATAGAACGCGCGACAAAGAAGGCGCGTGTGGCGGGGCCTGTAGGCTGCCCTCCCGGGCCCGCAAATCGAGACAAAGGTGCGTACGCCACCTCCCATTTGCGTGGCCGAGGGAGTAACCCGATGGTTCAAGTTGCAGAGCCCAGCGACCTGAGCGCCTTCCTAAAAAACAACAGGATCAACAAGAAACACCCCGCCAGCGCCGCCGATGTGGGTGGCAACGCCGCGCCACGGCCCAGTCCGCTGCCCAGTGGAAAAGGCCGCCCACTGATACCGGGACAAGCAGCGCGTCGTGAGTCTTTCACGCCTACAATCGGCTGATTTCTCACTAGTCCCACCAGACCAGCCAACCGCGCCGCCGCGTCCGCGAGCGCTGAAGTCACGCGACCCCGCGTCGACGATGTACGTGCCCATGCCACCCCGGGCCAGCGCTAGCGCTTTGCGCCAGTCCCCCGCCGGCGTCGCTCCGTCGGCCGCGCCGGCCCCGTTCCCGGGACGGCCGGCCAAGCGCGTATCTGCCGGTGATCGGCAATCAGACTCGCTGAAGCCCGTGCCGCGACCGCGGCCGTCGATGGCCGCAGCACCGCTCGTGCCAGAGAAGCAATCGCGATCGCCGTCCGACTCTACTAGTAGATCCCACGCCGCATCATTATCGTCATCACGACCTGCGTTCGACACGGCCCGGGCGGCCCCAGCGGCGCAGCTGAATGCGAACTCGGAGACGCACCGGGAGCTGCAGGAGATGCACCGCAAGTTGGAGAAGATGGAGCGCATACAGCAGCAGCAGTTGAGCGAGATGGAGCACAGGTATGAGTGGCTGCGGAAGGAATTGAAGCAGATCAAGAGGGACAGCCTGTCTAGGAGATAGTTTCACTAATCCTCGCATTGTACATTCACACAATTGAATCAGCTGTAGCTTGTCCGTGGCCGCACGACTGCCTTTATTCACTCCCCTTTTTCTTCTTTCACCGTTTTCATGCCAGAAAACATCCGCGAACCCGTCGAAAAAACTTGTCCTACCCTTTCCAGCACCCGCTCCTCGGCGACCTTCGCGACCTCCTGCTCCATCTCCTTGCGCGTGGTCGCCAGCACCTTCTTCACCTCCGCCGGGAGCGCGCGCTTCATGTCCGCCTCCGCCTCCTTTCGCAGTTCCGTCTTGACGTCCCCCTTCAGTTCGGTCTTCAATTCCTGCTTCACCTCCTTGACTTCCTCCATTCGCTCTCCCTTCAGCTCCTGCTTCAACTCTGCCTTCAACTCCTGCTTGACTTCCCCCTTCAACTCCGAGTCGGTCTTGAGCTCGTTCCGTACTTCCTCCTTCAACTCGGCCTTCACTTCTTCCTTGAGCTCGGCCTTCAACTCGGCCTTGAGCTCCTCACTCAACTCCCCCTTCAACTCAGCCCTCAACTCCCCCATCATTTCCGCTCTCAGCGCAGCCGTCAGCTCAGCCTTGAGCTCCACCTTCAACGCAGCGAGGAACGCGCCAAAGTGGTCGCCACTGGGCGATGGAGCGGATGGCCCGGGGCCGGCGACTATCTGCTTAGCAGCGCCCGCCGGCGACACTAAGCCCTTTGGTGGCCGTGAATCTTGCGCTGACCGTGACTCGGGATCCGATCCAAACAGTGAGTCATCACGATCAGAGACTATGTTCCTGGTGCCATAGATCTTAGGCTCTGCGTATGGTGAAGGACCAATCAGTGTGCGCAGACAGCATAGGTAGCATATGACGTACTCCGAATTGTCCGCCGCTCAGCCTGAGGCTGTCGGCGCCGTACTCTTTTAAGAACTTTTTCCCACTCGGACGCATCGAGTTCCTCCTGGAAATTGGCCTCGCAGAATGTGCGCTTCTTGCTGGTATTCGGCGCACTGGCGCTGGCGGGCACGGTCACGTTCAAGTTTGCACATTGGGCACGAGTTCTCGCTGACATGGGAGTTCGGGACAACTTGCTGGCTGTAGCATGTGACCGTGGGCATAGAAGGACATGACTCAACGGTTACACCTTGTACAATCACAAGACCCGACTTTATTCACTCCTCTTTTTCCTCTTTCACCACTTTCGCGCCAGAAAACATCTGTGAACCCGTCGAAAACACTTGTCCCACCCTTTGCAACACCCGCTCCTCCGCGACCTTCGCAACCTCCCGCTCCATCTCCTTGCGCGTGGTCGCCAGCACCTTCTTCACCTCCGCTGGCAGCGCCCGCTGCATGTCAGCTTCCGCCTCCTTCCGCAGCTCCGTCTTGACGTCCCCCTTCAGTTCGGTCTTCAATTCCTTCTTCACCTCCTTAAGTTCCTCTTTGAGCTCTGTCGTTAACTCCTGCTTGACCTCCCGCTTGAGCTCCTCCTTGACTTCTCTCTTCAGCTCAACCTTCAGCTCCTCCTTGACCTCCGCCTTCAACTCAACCTTCAACTCCCGCTTGACTTCCTCCTTCAACTCAGTCCTCAGCTCCGCCTTCACTTCTTCTTTCAACTCGGCCTTGACCTCTGCCTTCAGCTCCCCTTTCATTTCCGCCCTCAACTCAGCACTCAGCTCCGCCTTCAATGACGCGAGAAACGCGCCAAGATGGTCGCCGCTGGCAGCAGGCCGGGGAGTATGCGATGGCGCGGTAGTCGTAGAGTGGGCGACCGACTGGTTAGCGGTGCTTGGGACGGAACTTGAACCTGGAGCAATTTCTGCTGAGAAATCTGTCTGGCACCGGACGCGACGCAACAACGGCACTCACTACTGAAAGTTTGCACCGTGACGCTGTGATCCATCCCACTCGGACGAGCGACTGGCTGGTCACTGGCAGCAGCGCGTTCCAGATCCTCTAGTGCACGTCGACCTGTGATAATTAACATCAGCCTGAGACCTAGTACTGGTGTGCGACACTGACGAGTCTTCCAGCGCTCTAACAAGTCCGAGTCAACGAAATCAGGGGAGTCGGGTGACAGTGACCCTGTCCATAGCTTTAGCAGATCCGAATCCAAGCCCCAGCTGTCCTACAGACGCTGCCAGTGCATGCGGAGACATCGACCACGTACTCTTCCGCTTCCGCTTCGGACCAGCCTTCGGTGGTGACAGGATTTGGCGGAATGGCCTGGCAAGGAGTTCTTCCTCGTCGTCGTGAGACTCGAATGTGCGCTTCTTTCTGGTACCAGCGCGCGGGGCCGCCGGCCTGTAAAGGTTGTTCGCGAGTCGGGCTGAGAGTGACATGAGAGTTGGCAGCAAGCCGACAGCGCCACGTGACCGTGGGCATGTGTCGTAATGGCTTCTCATCGCCGCCGCCGTTGCCAGTGTGTCCAGCGTTGATCTGGCAACTCTTATGAGTTCTTTGCTGAAAACGATAACAGCGCGCCTGTTGGTGTATTGATGACTTAGGATAATTATTCATATCCGCTGGGTTGGATTACTAGTAGCTATAGTAGAATTTCTTACACATATCATTTAAATTATTACCATGAGACTTGAGTAGTACTAGTACCTGAGCAGGTCTTTTTTGCGGGCAGCCCCCATCCACTTCTGGCATAACGCGTAACGCTCCGCCGCTGAATGCATATTCGCATGTAAGGCCTCTATAATCTATTTTCCCAACACATTGATGACATTGCCACCGTGACGCGTGTCTCGTGGGCATGACACTTCGTGAGTGATGGGGAATATGATCCGGAGTTCGGACCGTTCACGTTATAGAAGATTCAGCCTTTCGGCCTTCCGGGCGACATTTTAGCGATACCCCCCTTCGAGATGAATTGTATGAAAGATAATTACAAGGAAGATAACTAAATATTGTCCGTCATGACTGATAAGTATGCACTCCAAGTCGTGTTTTCTGCCGAAGACCCTTACGACAGCGCCGCAATACGGGCGGCCCGATAGGCTTTGTTCACGGTGCTGTACGAGGTTTTCTCGTCCCAGTTGCTCGTAGGAACCTGGTAGCTCGCACCGATGTCCGCGCCGGTGAAGTTGAGGTCGTGTGTCGTGAGCGTGCCGTCCTCGGCTTGAATGCTGCCGAAGTGTGCCGCGATTGCCGCGTCAAAGCCGACAGGGTGGGTGCTGGTCCGGCGCAGGTCGTCGAAAAAGCCGCCGAGCGTGGCGTGGTACTGCGCGAACACGATCGTCTGCGTCTCGACCTCGCAGAACTGCTCTGTCACGATGCGCTTCGCGAGCTCTTGGAGCACGGCCAGGCGCTGCTGCACGATCTCCACCTTTTGCGAGTGGCATACGAGCTCGCTCGTCGATTGGCGCACGACGACGGGGGAAAAGTGCTTGAAGTGGGCAAAGTCTGAACGCGGTGAGTTGCTAATCTTGATGAAAGAGTTTGGTACTAACCATCTATGCCGTAGAATTTGTCAAAGCCGGCAAGGGAACTGATGCCTCCCCAGGAGTCGAAGCTTGAGGAGACGCTGGAGACGCTGGAGACGCTGCTAGTAGAAACGCTGGAAACACTCCCGCGAGCTGCAACTCCAGGATTGTTGTCCACGGGAGCCGCAAGAGCGCCGGTGGCCAGGGTCACGGTCATGAGCGAGGCAATGAGGTTGACGAACATTTTGCTGTGTTGTGTTAAAAGAAATGTGGGGTGTTTTGTGGTGGAACTAAGCTCAAAATGAGCAGATTGAAAACGACGTTGTCGATAGACATACGTTTAGATGCAAAACGAACGAAACGAAGAACAAGCGATGGCGCGGGCTACCTGGCCGAAAAGGAGGGAAAGGCAAAGAGCGAAGGGGGGCGGTGAGTCTGGCTTTGCTACCCTAACCAAGGACGCTTTTATACAGCCAGCATGCAAGCTGATTATCGCGCAGATGCCGCAAACAAGGCCGACGGAGCACTGGCCAATGGCGGCTCCTCACGAAAATGGGTCACAGCGAAGCCTGCAGGGTGCTGCCGGGCGCCAGATGCATATGCTCAATATAGTAGCTCTGATGACGGAGAATCGACCAGTAATTGAATGGTCGTTTGCTGCAGAGAGACTGAGAGAGTACCAGTACACCGTTGAAATATGTCGTTACTAGTGGAAGACGCTAGACTGAGATATCCCAGTCGAGCCTAGATGCCCTGACGCAATCCCAAAGCAGTCCAGCGGTATTGAGAAACCAGCGTAAATGGCCCCGTTTCGCGCGCAGGCTGCGCAACCTGAGACTACTGCGTAGATGCAGAGCGGCGGAAGCGCAATGCTGACAGTGAGCGGCCGAGGAAGGCAACTTGGTGCTATTGACATCGTTTCGGCTCGCCCATGGGGACAGGAACAAGACGTGCTGATGTGACACCACGCGATCCGGGTACACTGCCGTTAACGCCGCGCGCGCTGATTCGGGAGACTATTCCGCCAGTCATTGGCTCTTGTGTGAGTTTACACAAAGTTTACATTATTGGCAGACCCGCAACACATGTTCACATGACGTTTTCCTTGCGTTTTTTCAGGTGGGGAGTGTTGATGTGGAGTCAGGACTATTTTGCAAGGAAAAACGCTATCTTCAATTGCGCTGAAAGTGCGATTTGTGATCTGTAAGCTTATTCGCATCTATATCAACGGTCATTACTGCGTACGACGCGACCATGCGTCGAATCCCACAGTAAGCCTGGGAATAATATCACGTCTCATCCGAAATACGGCACGTTGTGAATCCAGCGCTGCACAATGTCCTTCACGAGCACAGGCTGGTCCTTTGCAATCTACATTCCCATTTCATCAACTTAACTTCACGCAAAAAAACAAACAGAACACATACGAAATGACCTCCTCCGTCCACTAGTATCCATGTGAAGTTGCCGGCGCCAGAGCCGACGACGCGTGCAGTGGTTTTGTCGGCGGGTGTGGGCCATGGGACGTCGGGGCTTGCGAGGAATTGCTGCTGGAAGGGCGACTGGATGAGTTTCAGCTGGGTTTGGAGTTGTCACCAACCGTTCATGCAAAGAAGATAGAAAGGCTTACGAAGGAGATGACACCGGGCCAGGCACAGTTGGCGTCCTGGGCACCGACGTAGTCTGGTCAGTAGGTTATATACTGGATGAAACGCTTTGAGGAAAGATGGCTCACGAAGGAGACGGATGCCTGCTTTCAGAAGCGGCGCATAGAGCAGGTAAGATGATTGGATACTGTAGCGGATAAGTATCTTGAACAACCAGCCTGATTCAAGCTCACATATCACCGTAGGTCATGAACTCCCTCGTCACGTCTTCGTTGACGAATTTGAAATTGACATGCTCAGGAACACCCAATGCGTCCTTGACATCCGGACGATGGAAGAGATCCTCCATCCAGAAAAAGGACGGGGCAAGACAGCCCATTGGTTCCTTAGAGTAGCACTGTGAAGTTGCATCAGAATCGTTTCAAAAGAAGCAATTAGACCACTTTTTTGCGTGTATCTTCTACAACTGTTCCATGCGTATCGCCCATCGCCAGCTGGCCACAAGTTTCAATCGCGGCAGTGCGCCTCTCAGGAATCCATTCTTCCGTTTGTTGGGCGTAGGCAATGGCGTCGAGACACACGGGGAGGACCTCAAACAACTCGGTACATGTGGTCGAGTTGTACATGTCGAAGAGGTAGCATCGCGACTGGAGCATCCAGCGGAAGTGCGAAGCCGCGTCCGAGATTGGGTTGCTGACCATCATGGATTCAAGGTTGAGCGAAATTGCGCCGGGTTGACCGCGGTTCTTGGCGATAAGAAGGTTTTGCTCGTGGATTACGGTTGCGATGTGGGGGACATAGATGCCACCGTATGAGCCGCCCGAAAGGACGAGTTGATTCCTAGGAAGGGAAGGTTGGCGTGTTTGTGGACGAAAATAAGATGATAGTTACTTGGCAAGGTGAGGGAAGACTTTGTAGAACTTTTGAAGAAAGTCATACACGTCGACAGCAGCGTCGCGACTATTGTTGACCATCGTTCCGAAGGAGAAACCGGCACCGATGGGCTGGAAAAGACTCTTAGCATATTGGAAGATAATGAGAGTAAGCCTACGTGGTCAAGAGCAAGGAGATTGAAGTGTTCTTGAAGACGTGAATAATTTGAACAGGTGAGCTCTAATGTATCGCACCAGTCCATCGATTTGGATTCGATGCAGTCCCGTTCTCAACAACGACGCAAGGACCTTGGACCGCCATTGGATTGGACATTCCACTTGTTCCGGGACCGCCACCAATTGTCAAACTATATAATTATGAGGGTGTGAAAAATAGAAGGAAAGATGTAGGGCAAGCGCACATAATTGGCGCATTCTCGGAGTCATTTTCCGCTTCGAAGAGCCTACAAAGTTCAGTAAGTAGCGCAGTTCTTGGTGGGATCGAAACTCACCAGAAAAAGGACCTCTTTGGCGTTTCTTCGTTGTCGCCCTTCAGCCCGATATATCCCGAATGGGACACCGAGGGCCCTGCCGGTGCGACACAGAGGTCACCAGGGTCGGTTATGTTGACGAAAAACGGAGCCATGGTGCCCTGTGCTTTCTTCCAGCTTCGACGCGAAGAAAGGACCCATAAGAGCGCTAGAACACAGCAGACGAGCCATCGCGTCGGTGTGTGACTGGCTCGACGCGGTTTGTTCTTTGGGAGGATTTGCGCCTCGATGAGGCCAAGATACTCTGGCTGGGCGCTCTGGTGCGGGAGCAGGGGAATGAGGAGAGGCGACTTGGCACTGGGCTTTGCTTGCATGGTGGCCCCCGACAAGGATGTTGCTCCCACAGACCGAGGTTTTGAATAGCTGCGGGCGGCGCCTGCGCAAATCCATGCGGGCAGTAACCAGCATGCCGATCAGCACGTCAGCTTTTCGGTTCACACGGTCATGCCTTTTGTCCTTCCTCCCCCAGCTTGCCCCCAGCATTCACCTAGGCCTGCCGTCAAGTTACTTGACTTTCCGTCGACGAGGTGTGAGCTCTAAACAGACAGGATTACAAGTAAGCCTGTGTCAGCTTCCGAACCTTTCCCGTGTCGTTGACACTGTTCTTCTGGTAGCCCGTCCCGCTGGCGCACCGTCCGGACCGTTTTCCATTCTATTCCTCGATGGCAAACACGATCCCCATCTTAGATAATCCCGCTCCGACTGACGAGTAAGCAAAATCGGATCCAGGTGAGCCGCTCTGCCGGATTGTTAGTATCGTTTGACCCACCGACAGAGCCATAGTTAGCTCGAGACGACGCCAAACTTGGCGTCGGTCATTGCCTTGCATCGGCCCGTCTCCATTCACTGCAACGCCAAAGACGGTACTCAATACCCTGCCGCACGGCAGAATCTCCACTGCATTCTCATGCCCATCTCAGCTGACCGCGACGGGAGGTATGGCTTCTCAGGACGTGGCGTTTGGCCGGGGGCCTTATAATGGAGTGTTGTCATTTGCCGTAAGAGGCGTTCTGTGGCCGTAGGCTAAGCTCCTTGCCTCTTGACACCATGGCGGTCTCCCAGCACTATTTCATCAAGAATATTCGAGTCTACTGTTTGTGGCGAAACATTTGTTACCTTTTGCGGCTGAAATTTGGACAGGGCTTGCGTTCGTCGTATACTGGGGAATTGTCTTATTCGGGTGCGGCTTTTGGCTTCCTTCTGCAGATCTAGACTTATAAACTTCCAAGCTATGATACGTATGTGGCCCATGAATGCTTTTATCAACAAAGCTCAATACTGATTCATTCTCTTCAAGCGGTGTCGCGTAAGCTTGGTTTCTTTGCCCTAGACCACCAAACTCACTAGCCGTACAGTGGCGCAGTTGTCAGCAGCAGTTTCTTCCAGTCTTCCTTCGGTTTATTGGACGAGAATGGGAAACTGAATGTCCACAAGTGCGTCATTTCCCCGACTTTTATCCTTGCCTAACTCGTTCGTCTCAGGAGCAATGCTATCTCCTCTAACGTAGTATCTGTCTTGCAAGCTGGTGCATTTTTCGGTGCTCTTGGTAGCGCACCCGTGTCTGGTGCGTTTTCGACCATATGGTTTCAACATCGAATGCTGATATTCGTAATGGCACTCAGCGAAAATTGGGCGTCGAATGACACTCCTTGCATTCTCAGTGATCTTCCTTGTCGGAGCGGTGAGCTTACCTGGGTCTCTGTTGATCGGGCATCTTGCTAAGCTTCCCCGTAGATCCTCACGACTGTCGCAAAAGGCGGGTCTTCAGGTCTGTCGGAGATATACGCTGGGCGGGTCATTTTGGGCTTTGGCATTGGTGGAATTTGTGCGTGCTCGGACCTTGTCTTGTGTCTTAGCGTTTTAACTGACTGGAATCAGCTGCTGTGTCCCCTGCGTTCGTCTCGGAGTGTGCTCCAAAAGAGCTCCGTGGTCGGATAACGGGTCTATTCCAGGTACAGCATACATGCTAGATTCTCCCTTTTTCCCTTGTTGACCATTGTTACCAGATCTTCGTTGCCGTTGGGGTCATGTTGTCCTACTGGGTTAATTGTTCGTTTCTTTCTCTCGAAAGTCTGTTTCCCCCCAACCGAATGAAATATAGACGGTATTGTCGTCAATGAGAAGCCGGGACCCAACTTCTGGCGTATTCCATTTGGCCTTCAACTTGTACCCGCCGGAATCATGGTCATCGGACTGTTCACCCTCAAAGTCGTGTTCTACCGATCTTCTCAGTTATTGATGCTTATTATTCATAGGAGTCTCCTCGTTTCCTTGCGTCCGTTGGGAGAACCGAAGACGCCATTCGTAACCTCGCATACCTTCGCAAGGAAGCCGAGGACAGCGATATCGTCATTCGCGAAATGGCTGAAATCGAAGCCGCTATTCTCGAAGAACGGGAGGCACGCGAAGGATTAGGCTGGAAAGAGGCTTTCTTCGGCAAAGGAAACTTTATTCGCTTTGGTGAGTAGCCCTTTTGTAGCCAGACTGAACTAATAATTCCAAGTTATTGCTTTCCTGATCTTCTTGCTGCAACAATGGGGCGGCCAGAACTCCGTTAAGTGGGTCATGCATTATCTCAAGGGAAAGGAAATCTGAAATCTGAAAAGCTACTACTCCCCACAAATCTTTGCTTCGATTGGTTACACCAACCGCAAGAACGGATTGCTTGCAACAGGCGTCTACGGTGTCGTCAAAGTAGCAGCAACCTCCATCTTCGTGTTCTCGGGAGCCATTGATTGGATTGGGCGGAAACCTTCCCTTATCACGAGCGCATTCGGCATGGGCATTTGCTCATTCATTCTGGGGGCATTGCTCAAAACGCATCCGCCACCAGCGACAAACGGGAATACTACCATTGCGCATACTCCTCCGGCCAGCCAAGCAATGGCTGCGATGCTGTATTTCTACGTTACCTTCTACTCGGTTGGGTGGGGCCCATTACCTTGGGTGTACTGTGCAGATATCTTCCCGACGAGGACAAGGCATTATGGGATGGCCGTGGCCAGTGCCTCTCAATGGGTCTTCAGTGCGTGTTTTTGTTGCTACTGTGGAATCGTTGTTGACTCAGGTTAGACTTCATGTTGACGAAGCTTACTCTGCAGATGGAGACTGCGCTTGGGTATAAGGTGTGTTTTCTGGCCTCCCGCGACTTCTGGAGCTGACTTGATATGCAGCTCTTCTTGATGTTTGGAGCTATCGACATCTTGGGCTTAGGCGTGTTTTCTATGTGTGTGATGCTACTCAAGCTTACACGGAGATAACTTACTTGCACCGATAGCCTCCTTCCCGAGACCAAAGGTCGTTCACTAGAAGATATGGACATCATCTTTGGTGCCGTTACAGAAGAAAAGAGACAAGCAGATATCGTCAAGCAAGAAAGGGGTCAGTCGGCTTTTCCTGCTGTTTACCTGACTCGGAGAACTCACCGTGTGTAGCACTTGACCATGCCCCAGCGGGCGACGATAATGTCGACAAGCGGTCCGACGAGGAAAAGGTGTAGGTGTGATTTCGTACGATTAGTGTCCCACCGTGTATCATTCTCGCATCAAATCATCTTTTCTGCCATAACTACTCCTGAAAAAGCAATCGTGTGACGAGCTGTGACCCTTCCCCAGTCAACCACCCACCCAAAATGCCGTCGCCCTTCTCTGTGGCCGGGATGGCCTCGACGTCTACCTCGCACCTCAATAACCCAAACCTTAACTCGTGGGGCGCGTCCAGCACGTCCGCGCAACACGCCCCACTCGGCAACTCGTTCTCTGACTCTTTGTCGATGTCGCAATCGAGGACACACTACCAGCCAGGATACATCATGGTGTGTGCTTTCGCGACACACATAAACTTATCTCATTTGTTTTAGGGGGCTTCGCAGTCGGGTGTAGGCTTTTACTTCTCTGCCCAATCTTGAACGACTGACGCTTTGCCGCAGGGCTCGCCAACTGGGGGGAACCAGCGCGTCGACGAGCCGCCCGTTGTGCAAACCAAAGCGAAGATGAACCATGCCTTCTCGCGCGGGGGCGGCCGCTCCGACTCGGACTTTGGCGGGATGGAGTCCATGTTCCAGAGCTCGAGGTGTGTTTTGCAGCAAGTTTCGGTCTCGCTGTTGATCACTGTCGGCAGGCAGCGACAAGCACTCGCGGACGAGGATGCGCCACCCATGAGCTCCGTAAACGACATCCCTACCGAGATGTATGCGGATTCGTCATTCCAGCCACGAGTGTGTTTTCATGCCCTTTTTACCCTTCTCACTTCTTAGAAAGCTGCATAGACTTCTACCTTTGGTGCCTCTGCCTTTGGACGACCCCGTCCAAAACCACAAACAACTACGACAACTTCCCAATCGCCCAGCCTCTATATAATCGTCTTTGGGTACCCCGCAGACAAATACAGTCTGACAGTCGAATACTTCAAGTCTCTTGGCGATGCCTCCGACGCGGACCCGCATGCTGAGATCATCAACTGCTTCAAGATTGGCTACCGGGACCCCGCAGACGCAATGCGGGCCGTCCGCAAGAACGGGGAGGTATTGGGAGGGAGCTGGATGGTTGGCGCCAAATGGGCGGTACGCTATTCTTGCCTTCTCCTGAGAAACGCGACGCTCAGCGTGTTTATAGGACCCCGCTGCGGCGGAAGCACTGCTCAGTCAGGCAACAGCGCGGTTTAGCTCTCCGGAGCCACAGCCCTCAACGTCTGGCTCGATGTTGATGGCAGTCGACAGCCCGAGTCCGACTCCGCCGCCTCATTCGTTCAACTCGCATACACCGATGGTAGGCACGCCCATCAAGCTCGCGCCATCTTCTTCGGCTTTCCGCCGGGGTGTCCCGAATGCGCCATCCAAGCCTGCAACGCCGGTGCCACAGGCCGCACCAACGCTGCCTCCAGCGCCGGGACAGGCGAGTCCGAGCAAGGGAATGTTAGGGCAGGTTTCGGATATGATTTTTGGATGGTAGAGTCTATATGTTATTGTGAATGGAGCATCATTCATTCAAATTTACTGGTTTTACAAGGCGCTGTGGAAGTTGCTTTGGACCAAGCAACATCGAGATCTCGAGCAGAAGGACAAGTTATCCGAGTCCATACCTCTGTCTTTTCAGGAAATGTCCTCCCGAGATCAGTTGACTTGGAAGTATCCTCCCTGGGTTTTTGGTTTTTCTCCCTGGATTTTTTATGGGGGTTCTATCGAGTGCTCGTGCCAAGGCCAATTCCACGGGCTGGCAGTCGTTTTCAGTCATCATTTTGGTGGACTTCAAGCGTATGGTGGAATAGGCCTTGGGTGAACCAATTATATGGACTTTCTGGGCTGGTTTCTCTGTACTGTGCTGGCCGCTACTACCCACTGCAGATGTGGGACCATATAGTCTTATTATCAGCGATGACTTTCTGACTGAAGGTTTTCAGACTTTGATTGCCAGTTGTGCTGCTCGAGACCTTATCCCTACATACTCAAGACAATCAAGTACTTATGGCGTCAAGAAATACGTATTGATATCTGAATCAAATCCAAGACGGTCCAGATAGCTGCGCACGCACTTGCAGTTATTAGCCCTGATACCTGTGTTTCTCAAGATCTCTCGTGGATGCCATAGATTCCGCCGATTCTCGACGATCATATCTTCCCACCCGCGGCCTATGACTCCAGTGAAGCATTGGCAGGTCGGGTCACGGCGCTCTGGTGTCGCGTCGCCCGGATCGGCGATGTGGAAAAGCATGTTGTTGAGGCGGGTGAAGCCGCGCACGACACACCGCTTCTGCTCTTCTGTCAAGCCCATGTTAGCTAACCCGGCAAGAGTCGGCGAGATCTCGTGTCTGCGCGCCCTCTCGAAGAGCGTGTAGAAGGCCATGGCCTGGAGGAAGCGTAGATTGTATGTTTCGCCGAGCGCGAGCATTCGCGCGGGGGGTCCAAACTGGCCGGCAAACCACATTTGATTGCTTGCCGCGTTCCAGAAATCGGGGACAATCGGGGAGCATTCGTGCGCTACGGAAAGAACGCGCTCCACCCGCGCGAACCCCTCGTCCGCCGAGCGCCACTCGTTGATGTAGTCCTGCAGCGAGCGCTGCTTTGGCTGCCCGATGGAGAGCAGCTGCCACGCCCACCTCACGCAATGGGTCATGCCATACTTGTTCGCCATTTCGATGAGGAGCAGGAACGCCGGGATCTGCCGGTCTGTCACGCGCTCAAGCCCGCCGAATTTGTGGGCGTCTCCCGGTCTAGATATTACTCAATTGATAGAAATGGTTGCCCGTGATTCGGATACCCACAGAATATAGATTGCCCAGCAGAGCATGCGGAAACCCACTACGCTGGTTCCCGGCAGCGGGATGATCTCCGACGGCGGCCCGCCCTGCGCGTCCGCAAACATCGATCGGAACATCGACTCGGGATCCCGGGAGATAATTTGCTTGTGTAACTAATACCAATCCATCAGTTCAAGTTGACACGGAGATTGCACAGTTGTACTTTGAACAGCACATTTTCTGCCTGGAATGTGCAATCGCCGTCCTCGAAGTAGTAATACCTGTCCCGCGTGGGCTGCACCTGAGCTGCTGCACATAGTTTGAGCTTCCGGAGTCTGGGCATTTCCCGCACACCCACTCACCCCCATTGACAGAGCCTCGATTAGTGTCCATGACGAAGTAACGATGGGCAGGGGGTGATAAGCCTGCGGAGCTAACAAGCTGCTTTTTTCCGGCTCTTATACCGTGAGCGAGGAGGTGCCTCATACAATAACACTGATAAAGCATCAATTCCACAGAGTCCAGACAAAAATGCAATTATTCACACGCACACACACACAAAACACAACAAAGCTTTATAGGTTCTTTGTTTGTGGTAAGACAACTACTGTCATTCTCTCCTTGTTCTAAACAATCAAGGTGTTGCACTGCCAGTGGGCAAAGACAATCAAGACCAGTAACCATGCGGGAGGAGGAACTTCACAGACAATAAAAAGAATCTGAAGGATTTTTATAGATCTGGTGCTTATTATGCAGGCACAGTAGGTCATTCCGATGCTTTACTGCATCGCAGCGACACAGCGCTCTGCGCAACAGCCTGAGTCAGCAAAACAGATGTTTCCCAGCCACAAACGCACGGAATATGGGGCTACTTGTAGCGAAGTTCCTCATGGTGTTCATCGTCCACTTCAGGTTCTGTTCTGTTTGCTGGTACTCGGGCAGCACCGACGGGTTGGCATGGGTACTCCGCAGGGATGCTAGCTCATCCAGAAACACCGCACAGGCAGCCGAGCAGATGGGCTGCCCAACGTCAGCCTCGGTCAGGATGACAAATAGCAAGTCCGCTCACTGCATACAAAGGGTCGCCCCAGGTGGCGAGCGAGACGACGGAGACCATCCTGGTAGCTGCCGCCAGCGCTTGATAGCGTGAATGCTCTGAATTGCGCAGGTGTGGCGAGTGAAATCGCAGAATGGCCAGGTCGGAGAACGCGTGGGCGAAAACAAGTGCGCGATCGCTTGCAATTGGTGTCGGAGGAGTTAACGAAGATTGAAACGCAGAAAGACGATTATCTAGCGCGCTGCGGACAACCGAATCATCTGCATGACTGTTAATCGCGTCCACAGACGAACGGAGATTGAGGAGAATATATTAGATCACCTAACATTCTGCCTGCATTTAGTGAGCAGACACGCTCGAGAAGGACAGAGGCCTTAGAAAACAACGCTAACGATGTAGATGTTTCTCCATCCGTCTCCTGTCCTTTTAGAAATCGGGATAATGTCGCGCCGACCTGATGACTGGTCATTGTTTTTTGTCATGGATACGGCGAGGAGCCTCGGAAAGCCGCTCACCAGTATGCCCCCTGGCCATGGTGTGTCTACTGTCATGTCGCCCGGAATGGCGGACGGACTTCCCTGCACTGCGACCCAGCAGTTGTTCACAATGACCGTGGCCCAGAACGCGTCAATCCGCTCCACGGCTTCGATGGGGTCCTCCGTCGGCGGGAGCAGCGATTCCGAGACCGGAAACTGCGGGTTAGAGAGACAGTGGTTTGGAATTGGCACGCGGCGCAGGATGTGCAAGCCAGCGCTAATTGCCAACGAAGCGGCGGTTGCTGCATGATATCGGCCCTGAGTCGGAAGTGCGCTGTGCAGATAGTATATAGACAGCAGTATCTCGGCTTGGATGGTCTCGAGGACGAGCTTGGGATGGATCGCAAAACCGCGAATGTCGGCCGGCAGGTTTTGGAGAGTGACACATAGAAAGGTTTTCGTACTGTCATTTGAGTGGTGTGGGATAGAAGTGCTGAGAAGCGACCCCCAAAGATATATCACGCTGAGCAGGGCGGGCGACGGGCGGCTTGGGTGGCCAAATGGAAGAGGTAAAAGTGCTGATTGGGCGAAACGAGTGAGATCAAGGAAGAAGTGTCCACTGTGGGCGAATTTTTCTAGGAAAGCCGTTATGCTGGCGTTTCTTAGCGTGTATACATAGAGTAGGAGGTTCTGAGCGACTTACAGTTCAGCAGCAATTTCCGGTGTGGGCTCCTAAAGAAGAGATTGTGGGCCGATTGAGGGAATGTCAACAGAGAGAGAGAGAGATAACTCACCTGGAAGTCAAGAATCTGAGCTTCGTCAGGTTCCGGAGTGGGGGACACTGGCTAGCTTTCTTCAACGTCGAAGGCGCGAAGTTCGAGCCAAACCTCGTGAACGCTCCAAATCATGCACTTTGCTGAGAAGCGTTTTGATAGTTCCCTGCATTTGCGAGGGAGTTTGGTGGCCATGGGCGCGTTCTTGCTCGAATTGGCAGGGCTGCTTGGAGCGGGGCGGTCTGTTCAGACATTGGCTACAGCTGGGACGATCACCATCGCATCTCTGTGAGGCCGCCTTTCAACGACGAGAGCTCTGAGAGGATCGCAGAGACATACCAGCTTCCTCCGTCTATAGTGTCGAGGTTAGTGTATGGAAGCAGCCTAAGCAAGGGCAACAGACGTGCCTACAATTCGAACAGGCTCCACCGCGTTGAATGTTGGGGAGATGTGAAGCGGTCATAATCGAAGCTTGTTAAAAGGCAAGTTCTGGAGGGCGGTTGCTGCGTGTTGGCAGTCGAGGCGGGAGCAGAGCTGTGAAGAGGAAGTCATATGAGTGATCCGCGTGTCGCGCATTGCGCAAGGCAAGTGCTTACGCGCCAACGCGTGCGGACGGCAAGCTCAAACGGAGTTGTAGACGTAGTTGGGTGGAGCCCCGCCGACAGTTGGGGATGCAACCGGAGATAATCCATGGTTTCAATACGCCATTACCCGGTCCCCCATGGTGGGACGTGAAAAGAAATGGATCGACGCTGATATAAGCTGGCTGTCAATCACAGGCTTATAGATAAAATGATAAGATAAAGATACATCCAAGAATCGACCTAGTGCGTCCCAGACAGCCGCTAAGTAAGAACTATCCCAAGACAGAACACGTCTAGCGTCCCCTCACAGTTCTGCAACCAACTCCATTGCCGCCAATGCACACTCCATCGGCATTTTCCTATCCAACGAAACTAACTGGCGCAGGTATGGCTCCATCCGCTCCAACAATTCGAATTCAGCATCTGGCTCCCTCTTTTCCCTTTCTTGCTCCATGTCATTAAGCGCTCGTTCTCCTGCCTTGGTCCATATGCCATGCCAGACCCTTTCACAAGACCCGTGGTTGTGGATATGAAGGGTGGATGCTGGGAGAGGTAGAGGAGGAGCGAAAGTAGATATAGAAGGAGCAAAAGGAAGCAGTTGAGATAATCTTGACCGAAGATATCGCAAGAGACTAAGCTGGAGGGATAGTGGTTGCCGTCCTTTCCATTTTGGTGGGTACCTGGGTTTAGACGTCGCGTTCAGGAACCGAGAGGTCATGATGGAGAGGGTCTCTAGCCTAAGCGTGGCGCTCGGCGTGGACGATTTGGGGAGGGGATGAGATCTAGCAAGATATAAGTTCACTGTAATGCCGAATGGTTTTTCACCACCTACATCGAGCTCAAGTCCCACAGGAAGAATCGAAATTCGTCTGCAGTAGTGTCTGGAATCCGCCAAACAGTCTTGGAGATGGGTTCCGTCGCAAGATGAGGGTACTTTGCACTATTCTCGAGTCGGAACAGAGATGTGTGGACCTGAAATAAGTGTTACTTTGACGTGGAATTCGGGACTAAATGCGCACCTTGAAGATGGTGTCCTCGACATGGAACAGGACAAAGCCATCGAGGAGGACCTCCGGAAGGTGCTCAAACAGAGCATCCTCCTCCTCATCGCCTAGCTCTGCCTCGTGATGGTTCCACGTCAGCAGCCTCAGCCTGCTACCGTTCCCGTGATGAACGAGGCGGGAGGCCGTTTGTCTCAACTTTCGTTCCAGCGCCAGTACGGAGAGTTTGGGGAGGCGGAGACAGAGCATGTCTGTGAATGAGATTCGAAGATCTTGGGGGTACCGACCCCGCGCAGGCCAACCTATATCATGGTCTTGTCGACATGCCATTTACACGTGTCCCTATGTGGGCGTGGCTGCCTGCCCACCGAGAAGGGCAAAAAGATGGATGGATAGCATCGAGGCACGGGTCCCAGACGATACGAGCTCCAATCGATTGCGGCTCTTGGACCAAATGGATGTCGAAGTCAAGAAAGTGAAAGGCTGCAGCGCCACCAAGGTGTCTTACATAACTCATGGGTGCTTGACGATGGATCGCTTACATTTGCTTCCTGTTCCGTCTTTCAAGAGCGGGTTCACAACTTGCGCGTTGATAAACGTACCCGCGATCGAACACGTCCCTCTTGAAGACCCGTCTCTTGGAGTTCACAAGATTACCTCGCGCACCAACCACCCGCTCGTCACACCGCCTTCCACAACGGCACACAGTCTTGTCGACCAAGAAACTGGAGCCAATACTCTTGCTCTTTCGGACTCTTCCACGGACCCAAAACAGGCATGGGAGGCGCTCTACCCTCGAGGAAGCATCAATCCCTCTGGAAAGATTCCTGGTGGCTTCGGATTCTACCTAGCAGGCCCGAAAGACTTCGCAGACAAGCTGACAATAGAGGGTGGTGCGACGCATGTAGTGCTGAGCTACCGGATGATGCTGCAGCATGACTGGGAATGGGTCAAGGGCGGCAAATTACCCGGAATCTGTGCGTTTTCTCTTTTCCGCACGGCAAGCTTGGGCTAATATTTGCAGTTGGAGGAGAAGGAGACACGTCTTATTCATGTACTGGAGGACAACAACAACATCGTTGTCAATGCTTCAACATCCGGCCCATGTGGCGTGCAAACGGACAAGGCGAACTCTACACCTACCTCCCTCTCCTCGACTCCAACCGCGACCGCCTATCTGCTGTTCCACCATACTCGAAGCAGAATCCGGACTATGGCATGTCTGTCGGTCGTGGGGCGTTTTCGTTTGACGCCGCAGTCGGCAACTGGATCAGCCTTGCATTTCGCGTCAAGCTGAATGAAATCGGGCAGGAAGACGGTCAACTAGAGCTGTTTGTGGAGGGAAAGTCGGTCATCCATGCCGTTGGACTTGTGTTCAGAACCTCGAACACGTCCCGAATCAAAGGTGCTCATTTCCAGACTTTCTTCGGTGGTGAGTTGCCTTCCTCTCTTCGATACCAGCAGTAGTTACTGGATTTTCAGGCCATACAGAGGACTGGGCATCACCGAAGGACCAGCGTGCCTGGTTTACGGATGTCACCGGTGCAGTCGTTGGGTAACGTTGAGGTCAGCAATCCGTTTGTCCCGGAAGTTGTACTGAAAGATGTGGTGCTAGCAAGGGTCAATCAGTGCGACTTTTTTTGTACTGTTACGATTCAACTCTGGCTTTTTTTCAAGGAGTGCTAATTGCCTAATAGACATACATCTGCAGCATTTCGCCAATGCCTAATCTTGTCAGTCCCGAGCCTGAATGTATTTGACCATTTCCTCGTCAATAGCTTTCAGCCTGATGTACTTATAACTACAGTCTCAACATCAGCAACTTGTAATATTGGATGGACCCTACACATTTAACTACTAGCACTGCGGCGTAAGAAACAGTCCTGACAGATCTCCGTCCTCTTGAAGGCCCACCACTTTCAAAACACTTTTTATACAGGCTCGATGCGGGCCGACCCCTCCCAATGACATTGCGTTAAGGATGCCTCCCAGACTCTGCGCCGCGTCTGCCTCAAAATCGGGTGTTGACACGACCTGCTCCCATTTGGCACTACAAAACTGGTTGTCTCGACACTTGACATCGTGCTTCAGGACAGCTCTCCGTAAACAGTGAAAAATACTAGAAGTTAATGCATGCCCCATCAGTAATCGATTTAGTTGGGTTTGTGTCAATGAGAGCCGTGAGATAAGTTGGTTCCGAGAGAGCGCCTTGGATCCAAAGATCACGCGTTTGCGCAGCTCGAGATAAATATCTGTTTGAAATGTTCGAAGGCCAGATTTCTCCCCTGCATCCAGAGCGCGGCGAATGAAGACACTGTTCCCCGTATTGGCCCGAATCCGACCTATCCACGCGACGGTGACCATGGTCAAAAGATCCTGTTTGTACGTTGCGGCGGAAAATCGCATGGTGGTCTCTAACACCTCCACGGAGCAGCGGGAAAGATAAGCAGGGACAGGATCGGCCTCGCCGGCCAATATTCGACCGAAGAAACATAGTAGACTTGTACGACTCTCCGTGATTCTCAATGTCTTCCAAGTCCAATCTTCGAATGAAACCAGATTATACTTGTGGCAGAGTCTGCCGACGCGCAGCAGCTTATCGACATCGGGTGTTGTTGTTTGGGCACTTATTTCATGTGGCCTTTGGGGTTTCAGGTTTTGATTAAAGGTTGTGGTGACAATGAGGGCACCACTCACAATGCATATAGCATCCAGCAGAATGCTCTAAAGTCGACAACACTGTCGTCCAGTTTGCAAAGTTCAAACGTTCATGTTGTCTGATACTGCTGTCGCCGTCACGGTGTTGCATTGCGGGAGGCGAAACATATCGCGGAACATCGAGGCAGGATCCCGAGAGAGGAAAGCTTTGTGAAGCTAAAAGGGCTTGAGCTCCATCGGGATGTACGATACTTAGAGGAGATGCTGCAAACATTGAAATAGACGCCTTCGACTCGAAGCACACAGTCTCCGTCCGGGAAGAAGTATGTTTCGTCTTTGGGATGCAGTTCGGATTGTTCTACTTTTGCAGATGGCGACGAGTTCACGGTGAGTTCGGGATCTGGGGCGATGCTCATCTGCGCAATAGAAAGAGGAATAAGTAGTCACCGTCACGGCGTGACCGTCGTAAAACAAAAATATTGAATCTTGGGCAATCGGTTTACATTTTTCCTGTCAGTCCTTCATTCTGTCGATTCTGCTACTTCTTACAGTACACTAGCCAATTCATCATCATTCTCTACAACACAAGAAAGCATGAGCGAACGAAAGAGTAACAGCAATCCAGCGGACAATTCCAGTTACACCGGTGGCGAATTCAAGGCACCACCGGAACCGGGTCCGGGCAGCGAGTCAACGCGATGAGAAGGGAGGATCAAGGTCCGCGGGCGTCCAGCCTGGGGGGAGGTCGAAGGTGAAGTGTATCCGCCGTCATAGCCGTAGTAGCTGTAGCCGCCGGCGCTCATGAGGATCGCGGGCATCGTGTCGGGCGAGTATACCGACTGCGGCGAGCGGATCATTGATGCCGCGCCGGACGGCGGGCGCGATTGGATCGGAGTGCCAGTGGTGAGGAGGGGCAGCGTCGGCCGCGCATTGACGAGAGTGGGTAGTTGCACGAAGCGCGGGCCCGAGCTGGCGCTGCTAGCGGTGGTGATGTGCGCGAGCAATTGTGACGAGGCGCGGGACCGGAAACTCCGGGCGTCGGCCGGGTAGGGCCGGGCCGTGCCGGGCGACTCCGGGATGGCGGGGAGATCTTTCTCCAGTGACGCCTTACTCTGTGAAATCACTTCAGCCTTTGCGGGGGGAAGTTTAAGCTGGGGAACGCACGATATTGGACCGCATTGATGGCGGCGATACGGACTTGGGGAACCAGTAGAATGTGTCTGGTACCAACGCCTGTCCGTTCCCGCTGCCCCCATTGGTGGTGGATCCCCCACCCGAAAATGGCCCAGACAGGAAGTTTCCTAGAAGCGTGAGCGCGTATACGCGGCCTTGAATGGCGAAGAAGAAGTCGAAAGCTTGAGACAATCAATGGCTGAGAACGAGATAGCTTGGGGAACCTACTGAGATTGCCCTTGAGCAGCAGGGCCAGGATAAGGAGTGTTGTGAGCGCGACGAGCGCACCGGAAGTGAGACTAAGCACAAGGACACGGCGCCAGGTGCTAATAAAACTCAAGAAAAGAAAGGGCAGTCAGGAAGAGGGCTTACTCGCGTAACAGCGTTCGCGCCTTCTGGATTTTGTAAAACTCATATCCCAAAAGCACAGCGATGAGGACGTCGTTTATCGCACACATGATGGAGCCAGCCCTGACGACGAATGAGCCTTAGCTATTGAATAGAAGAGGAAGTCGACGTACGCGGCAACTTTGAACGTCACCGCCATAAGCATGACCGGCGTTGCCACGAGGATTCCTCCGACCCACGAGATGACAAGCTAGAGAAGAACAATCAACGGGTCAGAATAGAAACATCGGAGGGATGTCATGCGCGTACGTGGACAGAAACGAGTAAGACCAGCACGAGACTGATGATACGGTTTCGCGAGCTGTCAAGAAGAAACAAAAAAAGATGGCAGTCAGCCGTACAGTCCGCCAATGAGAAAAAAAACCGCTCCCGAAGGGAAAGACTGCTCACAGGATGTAGTACAGCTGACACAGGAAGAGCTGCTCGACGGCGGCGGTGGAGTAGGTCATCACAATGGAAATCGTCGTCGGCGCTGCAAGGCTGGAGAACTTGGTGGCCCCTAAAAAGATAGAGACTCCGAGGAAGGCGCTAGCGTTGACTGCAGCCGTGCCAATGGTGTCGAAGACAAGCATGGCCCCAATGCCAACACGGTGGATGAGCGGGCGACCCCTACGCTGAAAGTATCGAAAGCAGAGCAGGATTTCAAGCGTATATAGAAGCATGTTGAGCCAGGACGACGTTATTTGGAGGCTGTTGGGGTGGTCAGCGGATGGTATGTCTTGGTAGTAGTAACGCACCCATAGTGCAGCAAAAACCCTTGCGCCACTGCGGCGGCACCCGGCCCTGGTGGTGGAACCGCTGGCATCCGGGGTCCAGCCCAACAAAAGAAGAAGACAGAAAAGTCGACTTGCGAAGTGAGGGTCGAAGGGAAAGAGGACGACGGGATGAGGGGGGTGGGAAGAAGAAGGCGGCAGAATAGTACGCGAGTTTATATCCTCCTGCCAACGGGTTCCGCCCTTCGCCTAACAAGGGCGGGGCCTTTCCTGATGTGATAACGAGATGGCTTCCTAAGCTGCGCCGGCCCGCGGCTGCGACCAATAGCATGCGTGCTTGGCTGGGCTCGCCGGCGATTCAGAGCAGGTGGAAGGCACTGCCATCCTCCTGAGGCGCGGGCGATAATATTTGGATCCCAAATAGGGACTCTAAACCAATGTATGACGCCGTCGTAGAGTAGACGAACTTCGACAATTATGTTGCCTGGCGACGCTTGAAAGATTCTGCTGGTGGCGCATCAGACGAGTTCAAGAAGGCCATATCAGGGAACAGGAGTTTACATTGAGTTTACGAGCATTGCAGCGTCGTCACGATCGCATTTTCTTCCTGCCTTCGCACAACTTGAGGTTTTGCCACGTTCAAGCCAATGGCACAAGCGTCATATGCGATTTGGGTTGAGTAGCTGAACTTCGCAAAGAGAGATGCGCGAATCATTCATGATGTTTTTCATTCAAGCCTTCATCCGGCAAATAATTTATGTTCGGGCGAATGTTATTTGAAGTTGCCCCTGACCGAAATTCGTGCAACTCACGGATCGTATAGCCTAGTTGTGCTGGGAAACAGCACGCTAGTTGTCTGTTATTGCACACTGCTGATATGCAAGAGACGAATAGGAAGCTGCATGTGGTGTGCTGGTCAAGATATGACCAAATCACGCGTCTGGTCACGTGCGTGACAGTCTTCTGAAACTTCGAAGCAACTTCGAAGTCGATTCCAGTTAGCATTGCTGAGCAGATGCCAACAACGATCCATCCAAACATACAAATACATACAAGGGGGATAGGGAAGCCTCCAACCACGCTCCTCCATCAAGTTAAGTCTGGTCTCATAACTCTGCTGGTAAGAGCTACAAATTGACTTTAGTAGGAGCTCCAGTGGAGACTGAGACACTCACAGGACTGCTGAACATGTCGAGCGGGAGGCGCGCCCGCAACGGGGCCAATGGAGCCTTCGAGTCCATGTCGACTGCGCGCATGACACACGTCGCAGGGGGGCTGGTTGTCTCGACGACCATGCCCACGACCTTCAAGTTGTCGTCGTACTCGAGTGTGCACGTGAACTTCTCCGTCCACTCCCGCCTGCTCAGCCGCCATGTCCAGCCCACACTGCCATGCACCGTTACCGTCTTCGTCGGGTGGGTGATCGCGTTCTGGGAGTCGAGACAGAGGTCCTTGCGCTCCCAATGTACGGAGATGAGGTCGAAATAAGAGCGGACGGCGTTTAGGCCGGTCAGTCGTGAATCTTGGGGAAGCGGGCAGGAAATGGGGGCGTGCTGGATGACCAGCTCATTGGTGGAGGAGAAATGGGACAGGAGGATCTTGGTAGAGGCATTGGCAGCGAGATCGAGGAAGAGTGCGTCAGCGGCAAAGAGCAGCTGTTTCTGTGTTGGGCTCATGGTGGCGGATGAAGAGTTGGGAGGGGCAGGGGAGGGAGAGAGGCGGGGATCCAGTCCATATTGTTATCATTGTCGGGGAGAAGCTCGGGCACGAGTTCCACGGTACGTCCAAATCCCGATCCGTTGTGGATCATTTCGCTCGGGACACAGCTCGGTCATGGAGCACATCGTCTCGGGCCACATTTCCAGACCAGCGCTGGCTTGGGTGGTTGATTTGAGGGTCGGCCTGGCGTAGGGGAGCAAAATGGAGACTAAAATCTCTATTGTACGTGTAGGAATCTGTGCCTATGACCTAAAATAAGTAACAAGCCAATGGGGAGCCAAGCTGGCAAGGCGACTGGAACAACCACGTACCTTGCTACAGTCCTCGGGCTATTCTTCATCCGGTGTCCTGGCAGTACTGTCCATCGGTCGGGCATGCGCGGGATGACCGCGATTCGCCAACAAATCAGGCCCATTGACTTGTCAATGAGAGTGGTTGACAAACAAGGAGGTCACGGAGGTCACGAATCCGACGCGCTGTTGCCGACGTCGATGCGCCGCCAGCGTCGCCCAATCGTCCGTTTACCTTCTGGAAGCCGCGCGGGCGAAGAACCTCGGGATTCTCCGAGCACTTCTCCCTCACGTGCACGACCGGCCATTGGTGCTGTTTCGCCCACTATCTCTCGCGTATATTTCATCGACTCGTAGACAAACTAAGACAGCAAACTTCAAACTATAGTCATTCTGGAATGGACTTAGGCAAGCGTCTCAAAATTCGTGCAGCTGTAATGACGTGACTTACTCTTCAAATTCAAGACAGCAGCGTCGTGCACGATGAAACGTACTTCTTCGATGACGGAGACTGTCTGTTCCAAGTCGAAAATGTTCTGTTCAATGTATTTCCATGCCAGTTCCGTCCCATCGCTCTTTGACCGTCGTATGTTCTGATTCTAGCTGCACCGAGTGATTCTGGGCCGCGATCCCGAATCGATGTTCCGATCCATGTTTGCAGACGCACAAGGCAGCTCTGCAGAAGTCATTTCACTGTCTGGAGATACCGCAGCGGAGTTTCGAGTGTTGTGTTGGGCGATGTACCTCCTGTAAGTCCGCGTTATATGCAGCGTGCTGATGATGACGGTTTTTCCTTCAAGTCCTGGTGATGCGTATGCGCTGAGTATGGAACAGATCGGGGACACGGAAGTGAAAAAATACTTGGATCTTCTCAACATGGCGCACAAGTACACACTGCCGCACTTCGAGAAGTGGGCGTGGGAGATGTTAAGCAGCGTGGAAGACATGCTGAGGCCGCTTCAAACATATTTGAATGGCTGCCTAGAACCTGGTCTTGAAGCGGCAATGGCTCTTGCCATCCGATGCAATTTATCATCCCTCCTTGATCTGGTCCTCGCGATTTTGATAAAATCCGCTAAATCGGGGGCAATATCAGCGTCTCGTGTCCTGGTCCTGGGCGAAAAATATCAGCAACGCTCACTGCAGACCGAAATCTATATCATACTCTGGAATAGAGTTCAGGGCCGACAAGACGAGGGACAAGCTGCTTTGATCGTCTCACCATTGGTTGGATTGGGAACTCAGCTCGGCCTCACAAATGCACAGATGCAGCGTTTCTTTACGGGGATTGTGATGCTCACCAGTATCCTTGCTCAAATAGTGAGCCCGGGTGATCCGGGCACGCCATGCGTTTATCCATCCAAAGAATGTCCTTGTGCAGGGTCGACGAATGAGTGGAGGCTGATGTTGGCAGAGAACCGTCAGCACGCTAGCAAATCCACGCGAACTGAAATCCGCGCCATATTGCAAAACGCACAAAGCTACGGAGACAAATACCGGTGCATCGACGAGCACCTCAAAAGTAAAAATTTCTGCTCTGATATCGATACATACTTTCTTGGGCCAGAACCCTCTACTAGTAGCTGATCATGAATGGTGGCACTGGTGGTCCGTGGAGTAGTACGCTAAACAGATATGTCGACTGTGAAACTACATATGCAGCATTCAGAATGAAGTCCGGCTTGAGATTTCCCTATGCCACTATTCCGCAAAGAAGGAAAAAATTAAGGCATACTGTACATGATTCTAATTTCTAATTATCATTTCCTGGTCACGTTCCCGGCCATCATTCGCGCCACATTCTCCTCCCTCTTCGTCCTTGATGCGCTAATCGCCCACAACCGGCCAGATACCCGATATAGCCTTTGCTAGTAAGCATCGGACCCACATAAAGTATGCACGTGCCACACATCTCTTTTGTCCCAAGCGCTGACGGGTCTTTTGTTATCTCCAGCTCAAAAGGCTGTCCCTGCAACAATCAACCTACCACTAAACTACTTGTTATGCCCGCCCGCTTTATCATCGACTCGGATGGCTCTACAATCCGCGAGACGCGTGAACAGAGCGAGCTCCCCACCCGCCCACGAAAGCGCCAACGACGAGACTCCTGGGAGTATGTTGGCGGGTACAGCGACAGCGATGAGCAGCGGGCAGAGCTTCCGGGGCCGGTTGAAGATGATGTGGAGTTCTATCGAGAGAACGACAGCGAGGCAGACTGTGTGGTCAGGGTGGGCCTTGTAAGATTCAAGGTGTGTTTGTTGACTCAAGTTATCGTGTATGACTCACAGCTGGCCATGGGCAGGTCAAATCTGCATTGCTGGCGGACATTTCCCTCGTCCTTCGTGACATATTGGAGGAGCATCCAGCTGGACAAGTCCTTGTTCTGGTTGCGGACCCAGACGAATTCCGTGTGCTGTGTTGGGCGATATATGCGGAGTAAGGCCACATCCGTCCCTTGTATTCTCTGACGCGTTTGTAGTCCCAGTGAAGTTATCGAACCGCCTCAAGACCATGAATCTATATCGCGACTTCTACAACTCGCAGCCATTTCACGCCAATTCCAATGTACCCCTCTGTTAGCCGCCATTAAAACTACCCTTCTCACCGCTGTCTCCAACCCATCGTTTGCCGCGAGCTTTTCCTCTCCCCTCTTCGCCCGTTTGGTCGAGACGGCCATCTCCATCAAGCACGATGCCCTTTTGGATGTTACTATCGCCGCATGGGCCTCCCGTATTCGTGTCGGAGAGGCGCCTTGCATTCCTGCCATTATCGCCGCAGACACCCACGAGCTGCCCTCACTCCGGGGTATTGCCTATTATCACCATGTACAAACGATGGTTGCGGAACAAGGCACCAACCAGCGCGGCGCGACCACTTTCCAGACAGAGCAGCTCGTCAAGCTCAGCAACGGACAGGTTACGCGTGTGCTTTCAGGGCATTGGTCGCTCGTCAGCCTTTGCGAACAGCTGAAGCGGACCGCGCTCCCTTTTTTGGCTGGCCCGGACTGTACCCGGGGATGCACCAAAGTCTGGGTGGAGAGATGGAGTGTCGCTGCCATGTCGGAAAAGAGTTTCCGTATCAGGGCGGCCGCGCTGTTGACGCTACTTGAGACGATGCAGCAGCTAATGAAAGCCGACAAGGAGGTCAAGCAGGGGATGTGTGGGGAGTGCCGAAAGTCGGCGATTGCTGCGCTGGAGAAACGAGCGAAGGAGCTGGAGGAGGGGCTGGCTGACCATTTCTTTGGGTGTCTCTGATGATATAGGCAAGATACCGATGTATTACGCTCGGACTTTTGTATGACTAGTTGCTTAGATTATTTGTAAGACGTCTATACTTGTATCTCAACCATTGTATCGACCTCCGATTGCAAACTGGAAATGTCACACACACATCTCAGCACATCTCGTCGTCGAGACGAAGTCATGACGAAGTATCATCACATGCAGCGCACCATTACTACTTATTGTGGCGATTACTTACTGGCCAGGCTGTCAATGATCATCTACGTAGTACGGGTACCTCCTCCGGCTCGTTGTTGGCGGGCTTTGGACCCAAAAAATACTCGTCCAAATCCTCACAAAACGCGACATCGTCACTGCTCAAGTGCTCTTTGATGCAAGGAAATGCGTCGACCCGATCCTTTGTCCGCTGTAATGTAAGACGAATATCCGGCACGCCCAATTCGAAGCTATCGTGGTAGTTCTGCTGACACAACTCGTCCCAGTGGGACTGGCAGTCGCAGGGAGGAACGGTTGGTGGTTGGTTGGGCGGTGTTGTATCGCATGTCGGAGACGTATCGAGAGTTTGGCCCGCAGTCGTCAGCACGATGAGGACATGGGTGAGGATTGTGAAACCGGTGAGGAATCGATGAAGCTGGTCCTCAGTGAGTCCGAGCGCCTTTAGGCCAACTTGGGGCGATAGAAACAGGCTCGTAGACCGGACCCTGCTACGAAGGGCAGCGTAAACGTCGCCCTGGAATGACCGTCTGCCGTAACTTTCTCCTGCAGCCAATGCGGATTCGGCAGTAACTACGCCCTCGGTTATGCTCGCAAGCCATTTAGAGTCGACCTCCGCAAGCAGGGTCTTGTGGGCACATCGGATGGCGATCCCCATGGTCTTCTCCATTGTGTCTTCAGGGCAGGTTACCAGGTACTCCTGCACGACCGGCCACGCGTCTTCAAGAAGCTGCTGTGCCCACTTCTCGAAGTGCGCCAATCCGTATTTATTCGACAGATCCAAGACCGCGAGGTAGACTTTGACGTCATCAGCCGTGAAGGGCGATTTGTGGCGCGAATACGCATCGCCTGGTCTGCCAACTAAATTCAGAACCAAGTCCGGGTCTAGCGGTTTGTGTCGTCCGTTGGGACAAACAGCAAAGTCACCCACCTGATGTACAGCAGAGAGCAGAGGGCCCGGAAGTCGGCAGCAGTGTCGCCATGCAAGGGGATGATATCGTCGTTTTCGCCTGTCGCGTCCTTGAACATGGCGCAGAACATCGATTCCGGATCTCTTGTGAGGAAGGCCTTGTGCAGCTACCAATAAGAACCTGATAAGTGCACATACTCACGGAATCAGCACTTCAAGTTCAAGTTCTGCTTACTTTGAATTGGACCCCCTCAACCTGAAGCACGCAGTCGCCATCGTCAAAAAAGTAATGCTCGTCCGAGGCTGGGTTCAGTGTATCAACTCTGTGAGTCGGGACTGATTGGGAATCGCGGTACTTACCTGGAGGCGATTCGGAGGGTTTCCCTACGCTGTTGCTTGTCGAGTCTGAGTCGGCCGCCACCACACCGTTCACCAGGGAAGAGGTCATGGCAACTGGTTAAGAACCGCCCGCGTACGTACAGTCAATACGCCAAATAAAGTTACTAACTCCCGGTCGGGAAATCGCCGGAGGCATTCGTTATGACAAGTTACCAATATACATCATTGGAACACTTCAGACAAGAAAAAAGTCCACCGGGTCAAAGGCTTCCCGCATGGTGCTCAGCTTGTTCCTCCTGCACAGACACCCATCCTGCGCTGTAACGTTCATCGCAAGACTCAGCGCGGCCCTGACATCATATGTGGTAAACACTGGGAGCGCAACCGTATATGATCGCCTGCAGTGCGGGTCATGGAAGTTCGACAGCTTTGGAGGAATCGAGTCCCGATAGAGAATGAGCTCCCTGAACCCCTTCGAGAGCCTCGCATCTTGCGCAGCCGTGAGTGACTCTGAGACTTCTGACGCAGCAAGGACAGGAGAACGCGCTTTTATGGGGGCAAGCAAGGCCATTCGGACCGCATGTTGGTAATAGGCTTCAGCAAGAAAGCGATTTCTGCCTCGCGCTTCTCCAAAGTCAAGCGCCGCGCGCAATTGACCCTGAAGACCCCCCGCCGTCAGCCGCGCAATCCATTTGTTTTCGATAGTGGTGGAAAGGGAATGCCATTCGTTGTCCGGAGTATCCAGAACTGCGTTGCAGGTCGCGAGTAATGACGAAGTCGGACAAGTGTCAAAGTAATTGTTGGACGGCAGTGTGGCATGAGCCCGGATGCAGCGGAGACCCCATGACTGAAGAGACGACGAGGTGTATTTCGTGGCCATACGAACAATTGCGACAAGTCTGAGAATATCCACCGGCCGTCTAGCGTCTTGAGTGCCTGGCCATTGGTCCAAAATCGCCTCTTGCCTAAATATTGGTTTGGAAACCTGGTTTTCAAGAGTGTTAACCACACATACGACGCGTAGAAGGCCCAACAGAGAGCCCGGAAATCATTGACATTATCATATACGGGTATAATGTCTGGCACAAGCGGTGGCTTGAATGTCGCAAAGAATATGTCGACAGGGAGACGAGAGTGGTGGATCTTGGTTGGTTGATTAATTTGACGTTGCTATTACAAGGAGGCCACATACCTTGAACAGCACGTTGTCAGGCCTGACAACAAAGAAAAGATTCCCGTCTTCGTAGAAATACTTCGAATCCTGGCTTTCAGGTACTCCACTGTCGCCAGGGTCCGATTCCTCCGGGATAACTGAGTCAAATCCGCAAAATGGAGGACTGTTGGGAGCGGGCTCGAACAGATATTGAGAAATGTAGATGACAATTCCGATACACAGAAGGAGGCAGTGATCTTTGAGCAATAAGCGGAGCCAATACTGACCAAATGAGAAGGAACATACGCAGAATCCAGCGAACGAGATACATGCACAGAACGAGTGGCAGTTTCACAAGTATTGTTGTAACTTGAATGGTGAATGAGATCATCTGGTGGATGGGCTTGATATTGGTGAACGTTTCGAGAACAACAAGAACTGTAACAGTCTAAGATAACTCAATTAGCCGAAGAAAACGTCAAGACAGCAAAGAGACGCACGGAGAGTAACCCTTTCACAATTACTAGTGATATCGCGGAGACGTATTCGTGCAGTTCCAAGGTTTTGACTTGGAGCAGACATTCAGACCGATCCACACACAAATACTGGACAGGAACTCCAAGTGCCTCTGCCCAGTATCCTAGGCCGAGTATCGCGTAGAAGTAGACATACGCCACAGCAGCTACGGCAGCGGCAGCGGGTGGCATCCAGACGATATGACCTTCGGTGGTTGCGTTCTCGATGGTTTCAGTTTTCGACGGTATCTACGGGCAGTCAACGTCAGAATGCGTTTGAAACAAAGAAAAAGTTTCGCACCGATCCAATGCTAGTGAACTGTACAGCGCTCTTCTTTCGTGCCAGCATGGGAGACTGGGGCGATGAGGCGAAAGAGCAAGAAAGGTACGGTCCCGTGATAGATACGTAACGGTTCTTGTCCCCAAAATATGTTGCCTTGTTCCTTTGAGCGAAATATAATCTCCGTATAGTCAAAGCAAGGACTAAAGCTGGGTCGGAAAAGAGTGGACCGGGCTCGCATGCGCCTAAATAAGATCAATGAGTGACTTCTCCAAGACGGCGTTGTGATTGGAAATACCTTTCAGAGCCCCCGCGGAACGACCCCATCCACAAAGTGACAGACTCGGAGAGAGGGAGTTGTAAGAGATTCCTGGTGCTTTCCACCACTCGCGGCCACCGCCTACACACGCTTCTTGAAGCCCATGGGCACATTATGGTACCGTTCGTCACGCGCTGGCCCGGCTACTAGTAGGCCAGAGGAGGAGAAAGACAAAGAGGCTGGCTGCGAGGGTGAAGGATGGTGGAGTGTAGAGTTGGACTGGATTGTGCCTATATATCCAAAGCAAATCAGCGGCCTATGTTGTGGGAGAGCAGGCTCAGTACCGTGGAGAGTAAGAGGAATTGCACTCGCCAAGACCTGGCATTTCCGCTGGGGTTGCGGTGTTTTCAGAAACGTTCGAAATTCGTGTCGAGTGGTGGGTGGTTTTCTTCTGTGACTGAGGTAGCTGAACGAAGCCCGCGTTGACCCGAGCTACCTGGTGCTTAGGCGTCACCCAATGCATTAGAGCAAAAGACTGGAGACACACCTCAACACCAACTCAGAGACCTCAAGACAATCGTCGAGTTGGCCTCCTTCATTCGATGCAGTAGCAAAGTCCCCTGTCTCTCTTCTTTATGCCCTCTCTTTCGGTCGCAACTTGAGAATGCAGATATGCAAAAGCATTGGCGCAAGGATCTGGGGTTGTTCGCAACGCAACAACTTGGTTGACAAGGACATGTTTTCTGATTTGTCAGCTTTGCAGAAATGAAGCCTGATTAGGATTTGGAAGCTCTTCATTTAAGGAGATTTACTGCTCAATCTTCTCGCATTTCGTGTAATGCATTATTAAGATACAAGATACAAAACCCATGATTACTATAAGCTGAGTATGAATGTAGGAAGGGACTTGAAAACCTCGATGGCTGCAAAAAACAACGGCGGGTACTACCAGAAGCGGGTATTCCGTGGGTCCAAGTTGGAGTTGGTCATCCTCAGCATGGCAATATTCGAAGTCAAGCTCGACCACTGAATTTGGGTGTTATAAGTGGCCGAGGAAGCAAGAATCAAGCAGACAACGCACGCCATTCCCAATGAACACTTCCGCCCGCTGCGCGGCCAGCATATCAACTGCCTGCGAGACAAACCGGCCGTCCCACGACAGCGCCAGGTCCCGGCTCGTGCTGATCCCGTCCGGCCATACGTGTATTTTCGCGATCGCGTTGACGAGGTCGGTGAGCCATGGCGCCTTCGCGTTGGTCATAATGAAGACTTTGGTGAGTGGGTAGCCGGTGTCGTTGACAACGCTCTGGACTTTGGCGACCATGTCCGGGATAGAGGGTAGGCAATGGTGGAGCCCTTCGGGGTCGTGCGGCGCTGGCGATTTGTCTGGAAATTGCGGAAAGCGGTTGAAGCCGTTGTAGACAAGGCCCCAGGACATTGCGATGTAGGAACACCACCCCTCATAGTCGCCACGACGCACATGCAGCACAAGTAAGCCGGGTATGGGGGTGCGAATGTCATACAAATCGGGTGAACGCAGGTTGCTTGGAATGAAATGGTGTGAGTTGATAAGGAATTGACCGTGGATCAACGGGGACCAGTCGAAATGAGTGAGGATAGGTGAAGAGGAGAGATCGGGGAAGATATCGAGTACACGTTCTGTATTCGTCAGGCTGTGCGGCTTGGATTAGATTTCTGAATGATGCGCTACAACGAAGAAACGCACTCCCATCCAAACAACCATGGACTTGACCGCGCAAGTTCCACGCAAGGTGATTGAATTTTTCGCAGTTCGTCTACCCAGCGCTCTACTATTTGCAGGGCGGATGGCAATGTCAGGAATGAGTTTTGAATTTTTCGAGTGTCAATAACGACGCGGTCCGGCTCTGGGCAGACCTTGTGGTACCATTCGCGAGAAACAGCGCGAGGAATGATATCCTTCGACATGGGAGGCATTGGGCCCCCTATGATTGGGCCTATTTGTTGGTCAGAAAGTATGAAAAAACATCCGAGGACGCACCAGATATGAAAGCCGACAGCGGAATGCGGGCGGGAATTGCGTGGCCGTTCCAGTCAGCGATTTCAGGACCGCCTTCCTCCCAAGTAAAGTTGTCAAATACATATCTGGACCGATAGTTAGTTCCATGTCTAAATCTAGCGAGCAAAAGCGTACGCTCTTCCTGAAGCATATGCCAAATATGCGTTCAAAACCATTTCCTGCATGTAGTTGCCCCAACCCTGTTCTGCGGACAGTTAGTCTCGGATGACATGGACAGCATTCTCGTTTCAACATACGAGTTCCATGATTGGCCATCCACAGGTATTTGGCGTGCTTGCCATTGGGATAAGGAGCCGACAAGTTGTGTTGCTGGAATAACCGTTCACGAGTACGATAGCTTGAGTAAAGGGGTGGTGCCATGACGGTCGGCAGCGGTGTTGGTGGACAATGTGGTTCTGATGTCGTTGGGGATGAGGATGGAGATAGAGATAAAGATGGTGTCGGTGATGGACTGTGGATTACAGAGACAACTGCCGGTAGTGGGTCATGGTCGAAGCCGAATGGCCAACGAACGAAGAGTAGCAGGACAACGATGGACCACGAAAAGGTCACGAGTAGTCGTATCCACCAGCTACGCCATGCCCCGCTACGGGGGTTCAGGCTCTCGACCTGCTGGACTCCGTCCCCCTCAGAGAGGTGGAGGTTGAAAGTGTTGGCAGTGTGTAGTCGTTGATAGTCGTTTTCAAGGTTTAAAGATCGATAACTAATCGAAAAGATGCTTGGCATGCGAAAGAAAGGATATAGCGTTACATGCCCTCCCAGATGAACGGTCTTGTATAAGCATTTGTGGACGTGAGATTGTGTGCGGGGCTTGCTTGGCCGTCCACGGAATCTTTCCGAGTCTCCTGGCTGTGCCTTCTTAAACGCCGAAATAGTGGATAACAGTAGGTCCGCACGTATACACAACACTGTGGACTTGTTAGTCTCTTCCCAGAGATATCAAAAGCAGCACCTTTGTAGTTCAGTCAGAACGGAATACCAAGCGCCTAAAAGTATGTTTGCTGTAGCCTGTTGTCCTGAGGACCATCTCTCCATTCCGCCGTTTGAAGAACGTCACGCGTCCTGTTCCTGAACCATGATAGCCTGGCGGACGGCAGAAACTCCAATGCAACGACTTGTTTCTCAACTCGTATGATTCACTGCCGTCCCAGATCCCAGGGAGAGAAGGATAAATAAGCACCACGCTCCACACTAGCATGCTGTCATTCTCGTCGGGACAGGTGATAGATGCTCGTGGTTGTCGAGTACTTGCTCGGCGCTCCCAACGGCGCCTTGCCCCAACAAGATATTTCTCTTCCCAGCATGCTTCGACAGTCCCGGAGGGCAACCGGTAGCTTTGTTTGCCCGGCGTTGGTTTCGGCCCTTCGCTCTCATAAGTTGTGATTGCCAACTTGGGGAACGGACAACTGCGAAGAAGCATCGCGTTGCGCCACGAGGGGCCCAGTTATTTATATCTGGCTGCGCAGCACTTGGCAGATAAGCACCCAGAAAGGTCCAAAACTCGACGGAGACAGAAGTCAAAAACTTGACGCCGCGGGCGGGTGCTGGTTAACCCAACTTGAAGCTGGCTTCAACTTGAAGAGACAGCGAGCCTTTATCATTTTAAGATTGATTATTATTGCAGACAAGAGCGCATACCTTTTTCTGGGTGGACTTGTTCAAACTGCTGCTGTGTGGAGTACTTGTCGATGCTGATCCCATTCGAGGCGCAACCTGTTCAGTGGGAAGTCATAATTGGCATCCGTCCAGGGGCAATCTATTGGAGACGCGCCTTCACCGGCATTAGCTTGTTTCTCCCCAGAATTCCGCTCATGTTCTCGTCAGCACAGGTATTCGTCGCGGCTTTCAAGTTGGCTCTCGATTCTCGAAGAGTATTTTGCCAAAAGCATCGCCGTCGTTATTTCCCGACGACATATAGGCAATCCGAGTCGGATAGCAGCAGTCCAAGTTGAAGTTGTGGGTTGTTTCCCGCCGTTGTTTCCATCATTTGGGGAAAGAAATCGAGAGTCACATTTTGAGTCACGACGTGGCACCGGACACCAAACGACATCCATACCAAATTCATATGCAAGTTGGTGAAAGAATATAGCTCAGGCTGCGACTTCTGGTTACTAATGCCACTATACAGTACTTATCCTGCCGCCTCCACTTCCTCCACACCAACATCACTGACTCGTTCAATCTCGTTGTTAGCCTGAGTTTGTCGAAAAAAATTCAAAAATAGTCATCTGCGTTTGAACTGAACGCTATGGTGCGCAAATACTTTGCGATGCACAAGTATCGCTCGCCGTACTTTTTCCTGTGCTCTAAAATGCGTCGGACGTCGTGGACAGTCGTGGACCATCCTCGTATAAAATCCTCGACTGACAGATTGGCGGACGCTGGCCGATCTGGTCTTGAAGGGGAGATACGCTCATCAGCCTCATCTTCGTCGCTGTTCGGGAATAAGATGTGGGAATGAGCAGGCTCGTTGTCATTTGTTTGTCAGCTGATTGGTGACTGTATTTCGGCTTCCTCCTTGTGCCTTTTGGGCACTATGTATACATGTTTTATGAAAACTTTGCCTTCGTATAGTACATCCCAAGCACTGCGGGCTTCGCTAATGCACGTATCTGAACCCTCTGCGGTTCTGTAGGGCCTGTTCCAACGAGATTCCTTCCAACATCGCTGCCTCCTTAACGCGAATCATGTCCGCACCGTCCATCGCTGCGCGCTCATCCGCATCGAGCTTCTTGTTTTTACCCATGAGGTGGCGTTTTATGCCTTGAAGAAAGTTTCAACAAAGATATTAACAAACGGAGAAGAAAAAAGTACCGAGCATGATGAGCGAAGAAATGACCAGCGACCCGAGCGAGATACCCATGCTCTGGTGGTAGTCTGGGCCCCATTCCGCTTTCCACACATACGAGCCCATCCTAAACATTCAAAGGTCAGTGACGGTCCACACCAATCGACAACACAAACAGATTTCCGAGGTTCCCAATTCCGTTCACAATCCCGATAGCTGCTGCTCGTTTGCTGTCAAGACGTTCAAGTATTTGAAAACTCGTAGGGTGGGAAATACTCACGCGGGCGGGCGCGGTATAACATTGGCAACCCATACTGCAGTCAGTGGGAAGGCTATAGAATTGTTATTCAATGAGAGAAGGAAAAGATAAGGTAATATACTGACAAGCGTAAGACACGGCCATGAGGAACATCGCAAAGTATCTTGCGCCAGTGTTGAATGTCGAAAGACCGATGATGAAACCAAGGATGGCGATCCACCACAATCCAGCGAGATGGAAGTAGCGTTCACCGGTTTTGTCTGATTTAAAGTCAGGGAAGTGAGAAAAAGCATGGAGGAAAATATATCGTACCCGCATGCCAAGCATTCACGCAACAGACAATAGAGGAGATAACCCATGGCGGACTGTCAATTAGTCAGTCGGATTCTAGATATTGGAATGTTGGATTTACGCAGCGAGAAGCAAGCTGATCGTGGTGTTGAATCCAAGGGTCTTGGTGAGACTACGAAAAGCTTTGTAAGTCAAGAAGTAGCTTCATCTGGGGCTACCCACGTCGGGACTATGACCAATCAGTAGCCGAAGAGTTTGAAGTCAAAAAAGCCCACAAAAGTTAATGAAACTTAGACCCAAAAGTTGAGCCGTATTCATTATGGCGAAGGCCCACACGAGCGGGTCCATGAGCGCCATTTTGAGTCCGGTCACAGGTCTGCATAAATAGTTTAAGCAAGGTTAGGGAGAGGGGAAAGACTAACGTGTCGCTTTCGTTGTCTTTGTCTGCCTCTCCTGCATCTTCGGCCAACCGCGCTTGAGCCAATCGACGCAGGTCACCTTTGATCCATCGAGTGTTGTTTGGCTGTTGGCGCGTTAGCATTCGTATAGTCGAACCCAGTTCCCGAATTGCTGACATAGTCTGGTAGCAACCATCTATTGAGCCAGAAATATGAGAGATGAGAAGCGAGAAGCGAGCGTGAGTGGCCATGAACGCACAGAGTGAGTAGACCAATAGCAATTGTAATTGCGCCCTGTCCAAGATTATACCAGGAAGCTGTTTATCCGGACTTCGCGCACCTCGATATAGAATAACCAACGCCATGCGCGAACGCCACGAACGCCTTCCATTCCGCCGAGGATTCCAGCTGCGATTAACTAGCAAAAGATGTGTAAATTGTGAGAACCAGTACCAAATGGATTGCTTACAGCGCCAAAAGCATTCGAGATAAGTAGACCGGAGTAGAGGATGGCGGAGCGGAATGCGAGCTCCTATTGGAAAGAAAGGTGAGTTCCCTTAATGACTCGAGATCGCGAGATGGACCTTTTTAGTGTACCAGCGAGAGAGTAGATAAGCCGCTAAGGGAACAGTCAACTGAAGAAAAGCTGGAAAATCGATAGTCCTACCCCCGGGATAGAATGCAGCCTACGAACACGATAAATCCACACAGCAGCTGCACTGAATTTACGAACCTCGGGTAGTCCGATGAAGAGACGGCATGCCAGAATTCCACCATAATTTTTGGTCACCTGTCGCGGGAGTGGATCAACAAAGAAGTAGGTTGACCGGTATAGTACAGGGACACTCACGCCCGTGAGCAGACTCGTCAGACCCCAACCAATAACACAAAACCCGATGTACCAGGACGGCCTGAAAGTTATGCATCAGCGCCCAGTAGATAAAGAGAAAGAGAGAAACGCGCCGGGTGACGTAGTTAAGAATCTAAAACGAGTAGGAAAGCAGCTTAATTTAGACGATCTCTGTGGAAGCATGAGAAGGACGCACCATGTTTGACGGTACTTGAAATGGACTGTAGGTCGCGAAAAGCACCGAGAGCACAACACTGTATTGTAGGTCTGCGCTGTACATTAGCCTGACGATTCTGTGATGAGGACTGTCATGCTCACCTGTTAGACTTAGATCCTGTTGCAAGCCCTTTAAGCGCGCAGTCGTGATTCCGTTTCGCTGTAACAACATTTGAGCACCCCAACACGAGCGATAACCAGGACTTGCGTCGATGTAGTTCATGATGTATATCACGAAAATAGTGGGCAACAATCGATAGTCTAGTCTCCGGACAAGTTTCCGCTCCATTGCGAGTCGTTCGGGGGTGCCTGGGGCAGGAAGGGGCGGGAGGGCAGATCCATCCTGCTCAACAGATGATACCCTGACCTCGTCGTGGGCGATGTCGTCTTTCTCGTTCTCCTTCGACATTGGCGTCGTCAGCGGGAAGAAGAGGTCAGGAACGTGGGCTGTTCCAAGTAGAGTCTATTGTCGTCTCCGACTCTTATAGCCCTGACGCGGGGGGGGGGCTTCCTTTCCCATGCACCGACGTGCCGCAAAGCGGGCGACTACGCGCGTGATCAACTGACCTCACTCGAAGGTTGACAATAGAACTCACGTTTGAATAGAGGAAACGAAGTGGGACAACGCTTCTTCCGTTCCAACCCCGTCAAAGGACCTCGTTCTAGCGACAACCTAATAAGTACTGCTTCAACAATGCGGCAGAGATAAGTTGTCAGGCAGGGTGAAGATTGCAGCTTCAACTGCCGGTGGATTTTTCTTCTTTCTTCTTCTTCCAATGGACTGACGTAAAGATCGGGAGCTACATTGTCGATGTGTTGCAACTTCGTCCGATGACATAGCGGGCGCTGGGCTTCTGTCAGGCATCGCAGTGGTGGAGACGGAAGTGTGGTTGTTGAGTCAATCATGATCACGTCATCACATCGTCACATTCCTATACATATTTTTTTTTTTTTTTTTTTTTTGGAGCGAACTCCTCAACCTTACAAAGATAGACTGTTCAGAGCATTTTAGTTTCAGCTGCATGGTATATGATTTGGAATACAAGAAATGAAAGATATCTAAAAAAATCCTGGTAAGATATTCCAAGTTCATGAAATACATAATCGCTGGTTAACAATGATAAATTCAATACTTCAACGAGATAGAATATTGACTAATAAAAATACATTTCATAAATTAGCTATTGACCACCAAGTAGTACTGAATACTTGGAGTGGACTTCTGCTGGATGAGGACTCCTTGCCGGATAACTGGATAAATGAGAAGGGGGTTTTAGAGGGTATTCTACCTTTGAAGAAAGGTGTTGGATGAACCACACCAAAGTAGGAGTCCCACACTGGTTTTAAAACGTGCATAAAGGTATTTCCCCCTGAGCTTACTTCCTGGCATTTTATTGGCAAACTCCAGTGCACCCAGTGGATGTTCTTTGGAATGCTCCCGCAGACTGAAGTTTATTACTCCTATACATATCTATCAAAACTCAAGTTCAGCCCAAGTTACATATTACACACTGAGCTGACCAGCTTGTGAGCTCAACAGGCACTCTTGCATGTTACACATTTGTGAAAGTTCAGTACTGATATTAAGATCAGGTACAAAATAAGTGCTGGTTGTAGATAGATATCTACTGTAAGGGCAACCCCAGAGGCTCCAACAAAAGTCCTAGCAGGGGAGGATCCAAAGCATGAATAAGCTAGCTTGTCGCGCCCGGCCATCGGAAGTAGTACATATAGGTAGGTAGGAATGTGAATACATAAATCTCTCCGCTAGCGTGAGATAAGCTAGCTCGTTGTGCCCGGCCGTCGGGAGTAGTATATATAGGTAGGAATGTGAATACATAAATCTCCGAAGAGACTGGGGGAGACAAAAATTCATGCATGAGCGCATAAGCGCATAATACATAGGTAGCAATATGCCAGGCTTGGCCGCAAGGCCACAAATGAGATGCTCCGCCCCGAGAGTGCAATATAGGCAACTCCAGGAAAAGGGAGACACTCACCCAAGGGGCTCCCAACCACAAGAGGGCAACTTAGGCAGCTCTGGGTGGGAGACAAAACTCGGGGCAGCCTGCGGCCAGCATGATGCATGACTGGGTGGGAACCGACACCATAAGCGAGCAGCTGGACCCCCCCCCCAAAGGAGCAGCACTCCAAAGCAAAGTGCAGCTGGCAAATGCAAAGCAGCGGTGGACACCCCACCCAGAGCGCTGGGACAGAGAGGAGGGGTGGGAAGGATGGATAGAAAGAGCAGGAAGGAAGGGTGAAATAAAACAAGCTTAACTTAAGTTATCCCTGGTTGCAACCAAAACACCTACTCAAGTCAATAGATAACTTAAGTTCCTGACTTGATCCCATATTTATCTCATTTTCAGACAACACAACTTAAGTCCCTAATTTACAAAACAGTTTTAGTAACAACTTAAGTTGATGCTTAGTATGTAGAATAGTTTAAGTTCTAGAAAAGCTTAAGTTCATGCACCAAAACTTAAGATCAGATCCATACCACTTGTGTTTGCGGCGCTTAGATGGAGGCTCGCCTTGTGCTGACTTGCTGCTGCTCAAACGTGAGCGGAGTGTGCGGGGGGGCAACTCCGAGTCATTGATGGCAGAATGAGAGCGCAAGGTCCGCGCCGCCGGTAACTCTGGTACCGACTCTACAGGCTTTCGCTTCCGTGATGCCTTTGGTGGCAACAGTGGTGACGGAGGTGTTGGCGTTGGGCTTTCAGGTGGAACCGGCTCAGATGAGTCGGGTTGAGGTGATAGCGCCGGAGAGTTAGCTGGGGGAGGGAGGACATCAGCTGCAGATGACACCAGTTCATCCAGGGACCTGGACGGGGAAGACAATTTGATGGTGCCAGCGCGAAACAAGCCATTGGTTCCAGCACCTGCTGCTGAGATAAGCTGTGTTCCGAGGTCGTACCATTCAGCCCTAGCGAGTGACGACAAGCCACTGGAAGGGAATGTGAATGGAAGGCGATCGATATCGTAGTAGTCGGCAGGACGGCTGCAAATATCGGCCCAAGGGATTTCATCCACCCCAAAGGCAGCACCTGCACAATTGAGTCCAAGTCAGTTTATATATGAATTGCAGGGAAGCTGGAACACCCACGAAAACGATTCGACAAGGAATTCCGTAATATGCTGAGCAACGGCTTTGGGGGGCATATCATCCAGCTCGTCCGATGTCACCGAAAAAGACGACCGGAAGATTCTTATCTTGGCCTTTATTTGCCATGAAGTAATCTACTTGTGCTTCAGCTGATGTTCGCTTGGACAGCAGCCAATGGACTTACCTCGCAATGGTTGTTCAGCCCACGCATGGGCGCTGTTGACGAAATTGGAGAGAACTGACTTGTGGGCGACCTCGAAAGGCTTGTCGACATGAAGGCTCTTGGGAACTGCTTCTGACCTGTGGGGAGATTGCAATAGTTATCATCACGCCGAACGAGCTTGAAACCGAAATATGCATACCATTCAAAATGAACGCGTCCATCCTCCCCGAGCCACGACATGAGCATTAGCCCAACGAAGGGTCGAAACTTGCCGTTTGCATTGAGAGTTTCAACCATATTCTGGAATGCATCCGGCACAAGTCGTTGCCGCCTGTGTTGAGTTAGTAGAGTAAGCAAAATAGACCGTGAATAGGCGCACTCTTCCCAGTCAACATCCTTTGTCGATGCAGCGGCGCTATCCCAGAAAGCGTGGTCTTCCTTAGCCCACAGTTCAGCTTCAGCCTTTCGGAACTTGCCACCCGCATTGCTTGACTCAGGAAGGTTCTTCGCATATTGTTGGATGGCGTCGTGTTGATCATCGCGGAATTTATCGCGTCCAGTATAAGCAGCGATTCCAAAGAGTTTAGTCATTGCTGCCGAAGTCGGAGGTTCAGAAAAGACAATAGTTTGTTTGTCGTCCTTCCGATGTTTGGCGCTGGACTTGACTTTGTCCGCTGAGCGCTTGTTGCTAATAACCTTCTGAATGGCCTGAAAAGCAGTTATAATGGATGCACCACTAGCGCGGAAGTCAACATACAGCTTTCCATCCTGCTCTTGGATAACCGCGCAGAAGAGAGGCCTTGCCACCAGCATCTTCCTCGCTTTCACGAGATGTTTCAGTGTTGTCTGAGTTCTCCTGGCGCTTGCTCCTCCAAGCCGAAATCATCAGTGGCAATGCGGCCTCTTGCTCGGCATCACCGGGCTGGGCTGCGTGCTGAAAGGCTTTAGCAGAAAACGCGTCGTTCTTGACTTTGGCGTAGAAGTTCTGAGCGTCGGCACCAGTGAGCGCGGGCAAATCGACTCCTCGAAGGGCAACATCAAGAATCCAGCTGCGTTGGAAGTTGTTGAGCTTGGGGACAGCAATCTCCTCCGCCTTGGAGCCAGTGACCATTGCAAGCTCGGGGAAGGGCATGCTTGCAGGCACCTGTGAAGGGTCGTATGCCTGGAACATCTCTTTGGGGGCCTTGGTTGTATTGGTGTTTTTCGTTCGCGCCATGAGGGGATCGTAGACGTCGATGGTAGTGGTGGAGTTGGAATAAGGAGTGTGACAATTTGCATTGTTCGAACTGTATGCGTCAAAGCACAAACCTAAGCCTGTGCCACGGCTTTAAATAAAATGACAAGCATCAACAGCACCAACATCCTCTTCATGACCTACGAAACACGTCTTTTTTGGCAATTATCGCCCACACTGGAATGCCAACGCACGTCATCGCGCGTTCGCTCGCAAGTGTATCGAACTATTCTCACCAGATGCTCTGCGAGAACACTTCGGTGAACGATGCTCGACCCTACGAGTGGTAATGGGTCGAGGAACGGCTGACGCGAGGCTCGGCAAGATATATTCCAACTACATCGATCAGGTTAGCCTGGCGATATCAGGAACCAATAGTGTGCTGACCTTGACCAACAGACAGGATCTTTGGTATATCGTGAAAACCGCAGCGCCAGATGAAGAGGCAAGAGCGCAACTCAAACTTTGGCTCCAAGGCTATGATCAATACTTTTACAAACGCGGGAATACACACCGTGTCCGCAACCATGAGGCGCAAGAGATTGCCCAGGAAGCGGATCAGGCATGGAACGATTGGGTCGACCCATATTTTCGGGCTCGAGGCCGCGAACGTCCACCATGGGCTTTGGAAGCAATCACCTGGCTTGATCCAGTCATGCCGTGTTTGCGTCCACTAAAACGAAAGGCGAGTGTGGGAGAGGTGGAGGTTATTGAGATTTTTGACGAGGATAGGCCACACAGACAGAAAAAAAGAAGGTTTCTGGGTATTGTCAATCTAACTATTTAGACACATCTGCACTTTTGTTAGCGTGGCTTGTAGTAGAATACAGACGTGCAACAAACCTATCTATATCCACTATAATCAACAGATGAGAAGGCGAGGGCATTCTGGCTGCCTTGGCA